GTTCAATGACCCGTCCCATCTTGTGTGGACCGTAGTGATGCTCGACGAGTCCACCATGGCCATCGACAATTTGAGCGATATGCTCAAACAGCCTAGAAAACGCATTGGCATAGAAGAACCCATCCTTAGTCTGAACACCCCCAGTAGCCCCATTGAGGTTGGCCCGAGCCTTCGCCGCCACACCTTGGCAAACGTAGCGACCATAGACATCCAGTCCAACCTCAGAACGACCAATAAGCGGGAACAGTTTGAAGAAGCGAGTAATCTTGGCACCGTCATTCTCCTTGACAGCCTTCTCAAACTCACGCAAGAACAGCCCACACAGCGACTCGGCAGCATTATCCAGCGTAACACTTGGTGGGTCAGGCACCTCAGCGGTAGGAACCATCTCCGCAGCAAAAGCGCCATTAACCACGGAAGGTGGAATCTGCGCAGCACGGTGCAAATAACTGGCGGCTTTCTCCCAGTCCTGGGGCGCACCCATAGACCCGGCCACACCAAGCGCGCAAGCCTTGAGCTCGGCAACCTGCTCAACAACCTCCAGTGTAGCCTTGACCCGAGCTTGTTCGAGGTCCAATCGGCGGACAGCGCTGGAAATGCGGTCGGCGGTGCCGGCGGCTTCGGAGAGCATTCCATGGCTAATGGACCGGGTGGTGCTGGCGTGCGTGCCGATATTGGCGCGCAACAGATCCAACCGGCTCAGTTCCCGGGAGAGATCCTTCTGCGATGTGACCAGAGCATCGAGGCGGGCTGTCACGGAGGCTTCCTGGGTGTGGAGGTGGGACAATGTGGCTTTAATTTCGGCGACGGAGCTGGCGTTGAAGATGTCGGGGGAGCTTGCGGTATCCTCTGTAGGCGAGATATTGCTCAATGGCGGGCGATGCCCGTTGGTAGCAGCCATGCTGGGTCACAGTGTAGCTTGTTGATGCCAAATACGCCAGACGTAGGGGCTCCGCGGGCGGTGAGCGCGTTGAGCATCAACTTGTGTGACACGATGTGTGACTCGATGAGATGGAGAGAGATCGAGAGATGAGACTATTCTTGGATTCTTGGACTCTGTGACTCTTTGCCTCTTTGCCTCTTTGCTTATTTGTCTACTACTCTTTGTTTTTTTTTTTGCTAAATTGGTGAATCAACGCGACGTCATTTCTCTTTTTCCCCACGCTCTATCNTTTTTTCTTGAAGCTCTTGATCTCTTTTAAAACATTTCCATTTCGCAGAGACGGAGACAAATTTGTCTCTCATTCCACATTTCATCATTGGACGCCGCAGAAACCGTCATCCCCGGCGCTTTGCTATGGGCAACGAAGAGTCCACCGTGGTGGAGGATTCCACTGCCCCCTCCGTACTGGAGGCGCGTACAGTCGAGGCTGTAGCCAAATACATCAAAGAGCATAATGTAAAGCGGGTTGTGGTGATGGTGAGTTTTGAATATCTGGTACGACTTCAAAGCTAACAGTGCACAGGTAGGAGCGGGCATCAGCACTTCAGCAGGCATTCCCGACTTCCGCTCTCCAGATACGGGAATATATTCCAACTTGGCTTTCCTGGACCTGCCCGAGCCCGAAGCTGTCTTTGACATTGGCTTTTTCAGGGAAAACCCCAAGCCATTCTACGCCTTGGCGCATGAACTGTACCCTGGTCGCTATCGCCCGACCATCGCGCATTCTTTTATCAAGTTGCTCTACGACAAGGGCATGCTGTTGAAGCATTTTACTCAGAACATCGACTGTCTCGAGCGTGAGGCTGGTGTGCCAGGCGACGTGATCATCGAGGCTCACGGCAGTTTCGCGTCGCAGCGCTGCATTGATTGCAAGGAGACATACCCAGACGCTGATATGCACGAAAAAGTCGCCAAGGGTGAGGTCGCACGTTGCTTTTCCTGCAACGGCCTTGTCAAACCCGACATTGTGTTCTTCGGCGAGGCTTTGCCTTCGTCTTTCTTTGATAACCGCGACATGCCCGGAAAAGCAGATCTTTGCATTGTCATGGGAACCAGCTTGTCCGTTCAGCCATTTGCCAGCCTACCTTCGTTGTGCCCGTATGAGACACCTCGCCTGCTCATCAACATGGAACGGGTGGGCGGTCTCGGCTCACGGAAGGATGATGTGCTACTCCTCGGTGACTGTGACACTGGTGTTCGCAAGCTTGCCAAAGCCCTGGGGTGGGATGAAGAGTTGGAGAGCTTGTGGGAGGCAACCAACCCAGAGCCCAAGGGGGAGGAGAAAGAGCAGGCAGTTCACCAGACGCGGGACGAGCGCCTGCAGGACGAAGTGGATCGGCTTACAGAGGAAATCGACCGAACTCTGGGGTTGACAGATGCTTATCAGAGCAAAGTCCGCGAGAGGCTGGAGTCACACGAAGCACACCGCCAGTCCAAGGTGGGCGGTCTCGCGCATGTGTTTCCCCATTTGGCATGAGAATTACGATTTGATGAATGTATGGGAAAGGAGAATGGAGTCTGAATAGAGTATGTTTTAGCAAATATCAGTATCAAGTGCCAGTGTCAGTGTCAGTGTCGAGATCCTCCATACTCCAGTATGCAGGTCACGCCAAGGCAATCGATGATCCTGTTCTGGCGGTCGATCACTTGAAGTCATAGACAGGTCAATACGGGGGATATTCTTATTCAATGTTATTTGTAAATCGTAATTGTAATTGAAATTCTGTCAAAATATAAATAGTCCAGTTTCTGTCGACTTACAAACCCATAAATACCACCCCAATTCCTCCCAATTGCAAGTGAAACCGCGAATTGACTTTGTTTCGTCCACCGCAGCCAAATCAAGCAAGGCGATCTTTCCCAGCTTGCCCCACGTCCGTCATCACCCCTCCCTTTTTCTTCTCTCTGACTTCACTCTCATCTTCACATCTTTCTATACAATTCATCATGGTTGGTCTCGGTCCTAAACTTCCACCTTCCCGCAAGGGTGAGAGCCTCTCCCCCATCCCTGCGCTTATCTCGTACTAAACATGTGGTCCCCAGGGTCCATGCAGGAGCTGCCCCAGAACCTTCTGGGGCCGATCCAGGACTTCGAGAAAGCCTTCACCGTTGATACCGCCAAGCTGAAGGAGGTTGTGAACCACTTCGTCAAGGAGCTCGAGAAGGGTGAGTAGCTGATCCGCAGCTCCCGATCCACTTCCTAGCTAACAATCACAGGTCTGACCGTTGAGGGCGGCAACATTGTGAGATACACTCCAACATTGACAAGAACACAGACTGACTAGTTAGCCTATGAATGTCACCTGGGTTATGGGCTTCCCCGACGGCGATGAGCAAGGCACCTACCTCGCCCTGGACATGGGCGGCACCAACCTGCGCGTTTGCGAAATTACCCTGACCAAGGAGAAGGGCGCCTTCGATATCACACAATCCAAGTACAAGATGCCCGAGGAGCTCCGCACCGGAACCGCCGAGGAGTTGTGGGAATACATCGCCGACTGTTTGCAGCAGTTCATCGAGACCCACCACGCTGAACAAGAGCTCGCCAAGCTGCCTCTGGGTTTCACCTTCTCCTATCCTGCCACCCAGGAGTACGTTGACCACGGTATCCTGCAGCGCTGGACCAAGGGATTCGATATTGATGGTGTTGAGGGCCAGGATGTTGTTCCTCCCCTCGAGGCCATCCTCAAGAAGCGCGTATGTATCCCCATCATCTTGTATAGACACAGGACTAACCAATTGCAGGGTCTCCCTATTAAAGTTGCTGCCCTCATCAACGATACTACCGGTACACTCATTGCCTCCGCCTACACTGATACCGACATGAAGATTGGCTGCATCTTCGGTACCGGTGTCAACGCCGCTTACATGGAGAACGTTGGCTCCGTGCCCAAGCTCGCCCACATGAACCTCCCCGCCGACATGCCCGTGGCTATCAACTGCGAGTACGGCGCCTTCGACAACGAGCACATTGTTCTCCCTCTGACCAAATATGATGAGATCATCGACCGCGACTCTCCCCGTCCCGGCCAGCAAGCCTTCGAGAAGATGACCGCCGGTCTCTACCTCGGTGAGATCTTCCGTCTGGCCCTGATCGACCTCCTCGAGACCAAACCCGGCCTTATCTTCAACAATCAGGACGTCTCCAAGCTGCGCAAGCCCTACCTTTTGGACGCCTCCTTCCTCGCCGCCATCGAGGAGGACCCCTATGAGAACCTGTCCGAGACCCTGGAGCTCTTCGAGCGCACCCTGAACATCCGCCCCACCGTCCCGGAGCTGGAGATGCTCCGCCGCCTCGCCGAGCTGATCGGTACCCGTGCCGCCCGCCTGTCTGCCTGTGGCGTCGCCGCCATCTGCACCAAGAAGAACATCGACTCCTGCCACGTCGGTGCCGATGGTTCCGTTTTCACCAAGTACCCCCACTTCAAGGCCCGCGGTGCCCAGGCGCTGCGCGAGATCCTCAACTGGGCTCCCAACGAGAAGGACAAGGTCGAAATCCTGGCCGCCGAGGACGGTTCTGGTGTCGGCGCCGCCCTGATTGCCGCCCTGACCCTCAAGCGTGTCAAGGCCGGTAACTTGGCTGGTATCCGTAACATGGAAGACATGAAGACCCTGCTTTAAGCGGGTGAAGCGCTCTTGGGGTTCCACAGCGGCGACGCCGTTGAACCCTACACCCCTGAAATCTCTTGTGATAAATGACACCCTACTATTGGGCTGGAGTATTGTTTTTAACGTTTGTTATGCCACTGGATGGGGTTTTGATGGATTATGACTTCGCATGTTGGCTTGTGTGGTCAATAGAATATGTCTGTCGGTGGTACCTATCAGTAGTACATACCGAAGCAATAAATATACCTAACGGGCTACTATCCCCTGGGAATTACTCTTGAGTAGGCAAGTAAAAGGTCAAGTTATAAACTCAGGTATTTCCACTACTATCTACGAAGTATATCGACCGTTTAGTATTATTTAAGAGAAAAGCTCTAGATCAGACAAATAAAATCCATTACCACCAACAGAAATGCAAGACTTATAAGAAACACAATCTCCTCTCCCATTAAATCCCCGAATCCTCCTGATCAATATTATAAGTGGCGTCGTAAGTATTCCAAGACGCACAATTATCCTGCAAAGCATCAAAATCAATCAAAGGATCAATCTCCCTCTCCCTCTCAAGGAACTGCAACGCAAACCCTTCATCAGTATGCCACCCAATATGACAATGCATCAGCCAAGCACCAGGATTATCCGTCTCAAACCCAATAAGCAAATACCCATTCCCAGCAAGCATAGCGGTATCTCTCCTTGGGGGGTTATTAGTATTAACACCCCCATCCCACGGATTCGAACCCTGCGCCAAAACAAAGAAATCATGCCCATGCAAATGGATCGGATGCGTAACCGGAATAGAAGTATTGATCATAAGATACACCCACTCATGGGCATTCGGGAGCTTAATCAACCCACTCGACTCACTGTAGTCTGTCTGGTTATTGAACACCTGCAGCAGGGTCGGGTCTTCCCAGAAAACTTGCATCGTCGTACTGTTGAGGTACCAGCGGAAGAGGTTTGCCGAGTTGCGGCCTATTGTTACGTCCGTCATGTCGCTCCAGTCTGCAGCGGAGACGGTCTTGGGCACGTAGGGGACTAAGTTGGAGGCGGGTTCGTCCAGGCATCCGTCTTCGAAGGCCCAGGCGCTTGTTGTTGGTTCTTTGGCTTTCTTGCCGTAGTGCATTATACCTCTGATGTTGTCCGGGCTGGCATTTTCGGAGCATGCTTCTTGGGGGATTGCGCGCATCCAGAATGACTCGCCGACGCGGCGTTGGTTCGCTGTTACGATTACGTCGTAGCGTTGGCCTGGAGGGATGTTTAGTAAATTGTAAAGTAAGGATTATAGCGAAGGAGAAAACACTCACCCATTCCGATGTCGATATAGTTTGTTGTGAATGGTTTGATAGGCACAAAGTCTGCCGAGATGACCGTCAAAGTATGATTGTCAATCATGAACTTCCAGTGCGTGTCAACAGCCGAATTGACAATTCTGAGCCGGTACGAAGAGCCCTTATCAACTTTCATTGTAAACCGCTCTCCAGTTGCGGCTGAACCATTGCCGTAGACATTAGTCCCATTCAGCAAACCAGTATCCAGAATTGGTGGACCGACCGTCTGAGCATGCGAGTAAAGCTCATCGACTGTCTGATGAGACCAATCTGTCAAGAACAGATTGCCCTTGTCAACGTCGTAATTGGCCGTAGCAGGGCCATTGATAAGAATACCACCAAAGACACCCTCCCAGGCCTGGAGACCAATATGAGAATGATACCAAGAAGAGCCATACTGCACAGCACGCCATTTGTAGGTCAGAGTCGAGCCGGGAGCAGTCGGACACTGCGTAATAGAGACAACGCCGTCCTGATCATTGGTATAGTTCTGACGAATACCATGCCAGTGAATACTGGTGCCATTCATGGATGTGTGAAGGTTGTTGGTGACATGCACAATGACCCAGTCGCCCCAATCTGCGATGATTGTCGGACCTGGGATTGAGCCGTTGACGGCCATTACTGGACGGCTGAAGCCATCTGGTGCAGCGGTGAGATCATCGAGGGTGAGCCAGTACTCGCGGGTTACGCCTGTATCTGGCACGACCTCGGTGTAGTCTGTACTGATGTCGTACTCGCACCATTTGGATCTTTTATTGGCTTTGTTGCCGGCACAGGGGGTTCCCGTTGGCTTGCTGACCTTGGTTGTAGTTTTGGTCTTGCTGTGAGTGGTAGACTTTGTCTTGGTTGTTTTGGTTGATGTTGAGGTTGAGGTTGTTGTTGTTGTGGTTGTGGTTGTCCTGTGGTGTGCAACCTCAGCTACGTTTTGTTCGACGGAGATAGTAGCAGCAGCAGCGGTCAAGCCAAATGCAAGAAAAAGAAGGGGTTGGAGTTTCATGGTCGCTATATACACCCAATTGGGGTATCTTGCGCACTCTTATTGAACAAGCAGAAACGAGAGGTATATATAACTCAATGCATGTAGCAAAGACAGACGGAAGTAAAATGGCTTCACAATATACCATGAAACGAGAGAGGCTTGCTTGATAGGAGATCAAGAACTATATCCCGTAATAAAGCCATGTGGCTATATATAAGACTCTCTCAGCACAGCACAGGTAGGAAATCATGCCAGGAGTAAATTTCCGTGTTACCTTCCACGAGGTGACCTGCATTTGGATCTCGCTAGGATATGCCCGTCAGCCTCGAAGGCAAGGCTGAGATAGAGAAGTTGTTGAGCTACAGATGACGAGGTAACCGACGAATTGAGATGATAGATCACACGTTTAGCCAGAATCCCGAATCTATTTGTCTATATTAATGCGAGCAAGGCGCACCGCACCACTTCTAGCTAAGGATACGGCAATCTATTCAAGGAGTGGGTCGATAGTCGGCTCGGAACGCTTCTCAGTTGTCGGATTGGAGAAGTTGCAGCAGCGCTTATGGTACCACGCGAGCACTGACTCCCTCGTGTCTTAGTAGACTGCATCTCGAAGTCGTATCAGTAGAGCTGGGCGTGCTGGCAGTCTCCAACAGGGAACTAGGGCTGTATCTCATTGTGCCGAGCAAACGCGAGTGGACCAATGGCGGAAGTTTGATATTGCCAGAAGAGAAGTCTTGCTCGCTCAAGACTTGTCAGATTGGCTTTAATGGCTTGCGTTAGAGTTATCTCCCCGAGGGCCGCGGCGCCCAACTCCATGTTGGGGTACCTTTACAGCCTCCCTTTATACGAGCTGCAGTAAGCCTACGACGCATAAGGTACAGGAGCTGAGTGGCCATAATGAAACCCGCATATTTCCTTTTTGCGGGGCTATCAGGTGCCCAGCCAGAATCTGGACATTGTTGCGAGTGAACGCTTATGTAGCACCTGCATTATGGGATTTCATCTGACTATTGGGGGTGGAATAGTTAGGATTTGAATATTAGTATGGAAACACAACCAGAACACCCTTGATAGCGACCAGGGTTAATCCCATTTACTATGTATCGTCCTGGTGATGGTTCGCATAATTGCGTAGTAAGGTCAGCTTGTCCCAGTCCGAATCTAAAAAGGGCTTAGATTTCTTGCGTAATGGAAAATGGAAGCATTTTAGCAGAAACGAGAATTAATTTAATTGGAGAGACCCCTTGAGTGCTAAGTGTCTGCCTAACTACCTTCATTTATATCTCTTTTGCTATACTCCGGGCACACCCTCGTACTTGATCTATAAGTCTTGCAGCGCATAAAGTTCTTGAACAATTGCAATAAGTTTCACTCCCTTTTGTATCGTTTACCGTCTGCAAAATGCTCTTACTTTCTATTATTCGTCTCTTCCTAGCTTCAGCGGTGGTTTGCTCTGCACAACCGCTAGAAGCGCGACAATCGACTAGTTCTTTCAATCTGTATGCGTACGGGGAAGGCATCAGCGGACTGCCTGTTTTCTATAAAGATGGTATTTCTCTGCAACAACTTACTTTCATAATCAAAGGTGGTCTGATTGTTGTTTCTTTCACAGGTACTGCTCAAGTCGTGGATTTATCCAAAATCGACACATCTCCGATGACCCAGGTCTACTGTAAGCCCCATCTCCTTCCCCCCAACGACAAAGGATTCTGATATTCATATTTACAATCTAATATTGTTCCAGTCACCTATTCGGACAGTTCTTCGAGCACCTGGGTAGCACATCCTCGTTCCACTGACACTACTACCATCGCCAGCTCTGCCCCCTTCACAACCAACTTGATATACCTGGCCCAGGGAGATACGGCTAATCAGGTCAGCTTCACCGGAACATCCGAGACTGCGCGGTCAGGGAAGCTCACTGACGTGTGGTCGCTGTACGGCAATTATGTCCTCGTCAGCGTAAGTGGAGCCAACTTCTACGCTAAATCCACTGGTACGGACGGCTTGTACTCCCTGCTCTGGAGTACTTCGGCAGAGGCCATGACAGACACTATCTCGCTGACATTACGGACTATTGAGCCGGCGACGCAGTCTGTGTTGAGCTGAGGCCAGGTGCGAGAGATTGGGGGCGGGATGAGCTTACGAGTCTGCGGGGTTTTGCAGTACAGTAGTTAGATATTGGCTATGTATGTGCTGGCAGACAGGCTCGGCTCGATTTTCCTCTAGTCGTAATTGGAAATATTGTTCCGGATCTGGTAACTCTTTCCTGATGTATTCTTCCTTGTTTTGCATCATGCCAAGGTAGAGCTTGACGACTTGATATGGTGATCGAGAATTTGCAAGCCTTTCTTCCACTTTTCATTTCTTTATCTCTTTATCTCTTTTTTGCTTGTCCTCTTTATAGCACTGCTACTTTTTCTATACTTAGAGTCTTCCAAGTGGGGCCGTGGATCTGAAGGGGATCAGATCTGGCTTAGCGTTGAGATTAAGCTGAGATCAATGAACCATGGATGTAGCCGAGATCCTCAAGCATGTATCAACGTCCCGAGGGAGAGCAACATGAGTGCTTACATATATTGGCAAAGGTTGACGGGTTTGGCCCACAATTCCGACTCACAGATTGATATTACGGTTGTGTTGGACCAAAAGAGGATATAGCTACATAATGATGATTAGGCCTCCCAGACCGATGGCTCTGCCAATGAAGTATATAAGTAGTTCACATAAGTCGCCATTGAACTGTTTTGGAAAACCGAGACACTTGAATACCATAGAAATGGGCCCTTTCAAACCACACCAACTCTACACCGGTCAAATCACCATCGAAAGTTTTCGGTGGCATACTTACTAACAATAGAACTCCTAACCCCTCCACCAGGCCGGAGCTTCTGCTTCAGACAAACATACCGAGCCTTCCCCAAAGATCCAGTCGATGAGCAGGCCCAAAAGGTCCTAGAGCGAGACGGCAAGCCATCAGGTCCACCGCCCCATTTACACCGATACCAGACTGAGTATTTCAAAGTTGAGCAGGGGCTGAAGGGCGTCAATATAAGCGGGAAAATCATGACAAATACATCCGAGGACCCGAGTACATTATCCTAACCAGTTAATTCCATGGCTCTTTTCGGCATCCCATTAGTAACGGCACGATGGCGGTTGTATTTAAGTGCGACTGATCCTGAGGTGAATCACAAGCTTACTCGACTATTCTTTGAGAACTGGTATGGCTATATAGCATGATGCGTCAGTTTGCCATGGAGTTATACTAAATAAGTTGGGTTGGTATTGTTGTTGAGGGAATTGAAAGTGAGGCAGATCTATGATGCTGGTGATGCGTATCCTTATATACCGTGCTGGTTACCCTTTCGCTGAACGCTTTCTTACTGGTGGGGTTTTGTTGTCGATCGAGAAGATAGAGTCTATTTTTTTGGCAAAGATGCAGAGTACAAATCAGAACCTATAGGCGAATATGACCAGTCTATAGTCTGAGTAATCTTTTGATGTTTGAATGAGTTTACTACAGTCATAGGCCACAAGTCCGTTCACACCTCCACATTTATGTGATCTAGGTGATAACCCGAGGCACTCGAAAATGGACAAAAACATCTACAGCCCCTGTTTTATATCACCCGCCTAGCACCCAAGTGATTCCAGCGAGGCCAAGAAGGCACGATAGTCATGTCTAAAAAAGCTTTCCAACAATAGATAACACCTGTAGATAGTTCTAAAAATAGAAAGCTTAACATCGAAATTGCTACATAACCCTAGATTTGGTATAGTATATTCGTGAAGGTAGACAAAACAGAAGATTATATCAAACAAATGAAGCACAATTACAAAGCAGAGAACGCCTGATGGCTATACGCAACGCAACCCAGAGCGAAAAAAAAGGAATGCCCAACACCCATTGGCAAGCAAAGTGTTGGTCGTGGGTACCAGGAAAAGAAACACAGAATCCAGAGAAAATGGAATAGAATAAGGAATGGACTAGACCAAAGTGAAAAAAGTTGGAATCACACGCAAAGCAAGGCAAAAAGCCGAATCAAAGAAGAAAATGAACCTGATGCAAAGAGAGTTGATATCAAAACTCAAAACTCCCCAGTCTCCCAGACTCAGAAAACGCCAAACTCAAATAACACGAAAAAGGTAACCATTGAAAACACCGAATCTCCTTCCCAATCCTTGGTAAATTGATATCCCTAGTAATCCATTGCCGTGACCGAAAAGAAAAAGAAAAAGAAAAAGAAAGACAAAAAACATCACATGCTTCCTGTCACCTGTACCGGATCACAAAAGTGAGTTCCGCTAGCGATAGATATCCATATTGACTTAAACGCGTGTTGATCGTTTCCGCAGACCGAATTCTTGCTCCTGAAGCTCTCGTATTAAACGAAGACTTTCCTCATCTGCGTCTTCATCTCCGGTGATGTGCTGGGTATGCTTGTGTTGACGAGGGGACAGTGAGGTGGGGGCTTGGCGGTTGAAATGTTTCTCGTACATTGGAGAGCTCTTCTTCGCATGAGAGGAAGAAGGGCGCGATGAAGGTTTCCTTGCCGACGATGGAGGAGCTGGGGTGGTCTTGCGTACGCCAATCGTGGAAGATGTTGCTCGCCCGACGGGTTTGGAAACCCGAGAGGCAGTAACGTCAGGTGCATACCGATCAACGTGTCGAGGTTGACGAGATGAATGCCGAGAGCTGGAATTTGGTGTGTGAAGCGTAGTTGACGTTTCACCTTCTACGGACTGGACAGCATCTCCCTCTTGAACCACATCCGTTTCGTCGGCTAGCGACGTGGGCGGTGAGACCAGTGACGTGGCCGGCTTAGACGATGACATCGAGATGGAGTTCAGATCCTTTCCATCGCCAGAGTCGGGCTGGAAAGCAGGCGGCGATGCGTACAAAGCTTCACCTTGGGGCGCATCGTCTGACTTGAGTTGAGGCTTGCTTGAGTCAGCGTAGTGGATCGGTTTGTGATCATAAGCATCCACGAATTCCGGCTGCGCTATCGGTTCTCCATCATTATTGTAGAAGACGGCCGGCCGTGCCATAGGCGATGTGCTTTCCTGCTTTGTTTTCTTGGCTGTGGCAGGTACTCCATCATCTTCAGCAGGACGTGCCCGTTTTGCGGAAGCATTCGCACGAGGCTTAGAACGCTCCTGAGCCTTGATCGGATCTATCCGGCCATATTCATCGTGAATGCAACGTCGCTAATCTCAAGTTAGCAGCTGAAATCGGAACAAAAGAAGACCTCCTGTTATGTGAGTAATCACATACCTTGCTCTTCCGACAATCATCACACGCCTTGCTCCGACCCTTTTTCCCTCCACCTGCTCCATCAGGACTCAAATCCATGAGTCGGTTGGCAGCAACTGTGGAGTTACTCATCACCGCAGATTGAAATCTTGCGGAGCTCTCAAATCGATCCATGTCAACAAGATGGTTATTGCTCTGGAAACCACTCTGGGATGCAATCGCTGCTAGAGAGTTCAATGCAGAGACAGCATCCTGGGCCAGGGAAGATGGCGTGCTCACTCCAGAGCCGGGTGTGAACGTATTGACTGTGACTTGGCCATTGAGCATCATGTCACCTGGCTCATCCTTGTGGCGGCATCGAATCCGTCGTTTGCGACATGCATCACAAGCAACGCGCTTTGGACCAAGACCAGAACCTCGTTGCACCGCCCGGGGTTTGGGAGTAGCAAGCTCTTTCATGCTAGCATCTGGAGCATGACTGAATGGCACCGGTGTTGAGCTTTCATCTGACGGTCCATCTGATGGCACATAGAGACCGCTGCTGGGTGGGGGATTTGGAGCCGCGGAGATCTCATCCGAAGGCCACTGAACCGCTTGCCTTTCAGCATAGGTGCGCTGATTGTCGATGTTTCGGTCGGATCGGCGGCTGGGTCGGCCAGCCGGCTTCCTCTCCGTGAATGAAACCTTGGGATTGCTTTCAATGACACCAGGCCTAGTCCAGAGGGGTGCTTTCTCGTTACCACGCTTCCATGCCACCCACATTCCGAACTGTCTGATCACATCCACGGGATCTCCAACAACCTTTGGAATGGAACGTCTGACCGCGTTGCGGGCATCTATGGTGACTCCTCCATCGACAGTATAGCCGCCTGCAATGAGCGCAGTCCGCAGCAGATAGCGAGTCAGCTCAGGTAGACCCTCTAACTCCGCTTGCGAATAGAAACGGGCATTGTGATGGGAAGAGCCACGAGGCTCCTGGTTGGCACGCTCCCCGAATTCGTAGTAGATCGGATGTTGGCGATGGAATCGATAGTGCTCATCCTGGATGAAAGCATTCACCACATGTTGTGGAATAGGGTCATCCTCCAGATACTTCAGAGCCGTATACCACTGGATCTTTTGGAAGAAGGGGTATCGGAACTTCCTGGGCACTTTCGTTTCCTTCTCAATGCCAAGAATCTTGATTTGCATCCCGTAGTTCAGTCTGGTCAAGAAATTTCCACCAATGACCAAGCTATTTTCCGGAGTCCAGACTGCGTGAATCCAGCCCGACGGAATCAACATGGTATCTCCTTCCGAGAGATCCACGCGGTAGCACTCCTTGGTTTGATTACCAAGGAAGATCGAATCCTGGGCGGGAGAATTACACCACTCTTCATATTTCTTGAGGTGTTTGTCTTTGGGAGGAATGAAGAAGAAAGTCTTCTTGCCCTTCAAGATATGGTAGAAGACTGAAGATCCGCCGAAGTCGATGTGAAAGTCAGTGTAGCAGTCGGCAACAGACATTAGGCAGTAGAACTGAACCTTGGGATAGTCGCCGACGGCCTTCAGTTCCTCTGGCCAGACAGAATCCTGCAGATCCAGGTCACGTACAACCTTGGGTCGCTTGATGAGTCTGCCCAATCTGCTTTGGGATACTTCGAGGCTGATGACATTCCTGACAGGTTTGTTCAGCTCGGTGCTCTCGTAGTAATCGGCCCATTTCTGCATATTCCACCTCTTGTCCTCTCCTTGTTGAGACTTGACATCGATCACCTCAACCCTTTCTTCGGGACCGTAAAGCTCTGCAACGGCACGAACAGTAAGACCTTGAGGAATGACCATGTCCAAGAGATCTTGGCCACAGTCAGGTGTTTCTTCGATGTGGGTATCTTGTTCTGGGTGATTCTCGAGTAGCTCATCAAACATCTCTTGAGATGTAGCCTCCTCGACTAAAGACTCGAAGTCCGGTATCCCCGGGGAAACAGACTTGGTGGTGTTCCAGCAAGCGGGGATCACGATTGGTTCCGTCCATCCATTTCCTCTTTCGAAATATTCCGCTGTAACTAACTCGGGCTTCATGCGAGGGAAGTTCTCTGGCTGGAACCGAATCTTGCCTTGGCGAATTGGCTCGAGGTAGTGGTGCTCCAATGAGTCGCTGGCCGCCTTGACAAGGCCCTGGTTCAGGCCTGCGTAGTCAATGGCTGTGCGAGCTCGCGAGGACTTGCGCACAAACGTTGTTTGGCCATGAGTTGATCGGCACGGTCGACAAATAAATTTATCGACGGTACGGACTTCCCGGTCACTCTTGAAGCCAGCGCAAACAATATGGAACCATCGTTTGCATCCATCACAGCTGATCCATGTGTCTTCCTCTTGTTCTTCGGTTTCGACTGGAATACGTACCATATGACATGCCGCACAGCTTGCTTGTGTGGTTTCAACTTCCTCTTCCATTTTTGGCGGCACAGCCAATGACCTTGGAATACGAGGCTCACGAGCACCGGCGGGGTTGAACTCCACATGGCCAGGATGAGTTGCATCAGCTGACGCATGCCAGGCGTTGACTTCGTTCTCGTCTTCCCAGACAACAGGCGGAAGGTTACCTGAGCTGGTAGTTGGTCGAATACCACGGATAACAGGACGGGAGAGGAAGGCTGACCCGTCTGAACGTGAGCGCATGCGGGACGTGGGAACATGATCTTCGGTATCATCGCCTTTCAAATCACCCTGTCCCGGATACCCACCGGTAGCAAACCCCACTCGAGCGTGACGGATCGCGTCGCCGGCGTGGTGGTAGGACTCGTCAATGCTGACCCGCTTCGTTGAGTTATTCGGGTAAAAGTTTGTGGGCCGCGCAAGGTTGAGGAGAAGCTCCGCATCCGTTGTCATGCTGTCAAATATGGGACGCGGGTTTTCCGAAGGCATTCCTGGTCGAGGACGATAGGGCGAAGGATTTCTTTCCGACCGTGCACGCTTGGCCGGCCGTTCGGAGTCGGCAGATTCATGAGGGAATAAGGGAATCGTCGATCGGAAGCTGGGAGAGGGCGGATTTTGGGGGAGTGGCGCGAAGGTAGGACTCGTTGCGAGGGCGATCGTCGCAAGCGTGTCGATGGTCGAGTTTGATCGGCCATGGCCTGTTCGGTGGTGTGAATTGCTTTCAGTGGCATTTCGGTTATGGCTTGATGCACGCTGATCGAAATCAAGACTTGCGGCTCGAGGGCCACTGCGGCCGGTCAAGGAGGAATGGAACTCGGTGGTTGTGGATGGAGTGATAGGTTCGACGGCGCGTAGCGGAGGGGACGGAGTGCGGTACTGCGGCGGACGACCGCCGATGGGGCTCGCGAATGAGGCCGCGCTCATCATTTTCGCGGCGGCCCAGGATTGTAAAAGGGAATTGAAGATGAAGGATTGGTGGTGCGAAAAGTTGCGCTCGCGGTAGGTGGGTGCTTTGCAAAGCGGGGATGCTGGACCACACGGGCTACATGTAGCGAGAGGCCGGCGCAGACGAAAGGAATGTCATTCCTGTCAGAAGAGCATGCGCAGGGTATACCGCGAGATGGAGATTGGTATTTGATTGAGAGGGTAGGAAAGGTTCGACGAGGTCGAGTCGCGGAGCGCTGCGTTGAGGGGGTTTCGAGCGGGAGACAAAGGCGCCGAGAGTCGCGCGCCGCAACCTGCGGGCAGGTAGGGAGGAAGTTGAGATGAAATCCAGTAGCCAGGAACCGATTCCTGTCAACTGGACAAGTATGCGAATGGATGAAGCGCCAGGGCGAGCAGATGAGCGCGAGGTGTTGAAGGAGGAAGCGGGAGCCGAGTAGTTAGCAACTTTGGTATGTACGCGGACCGTCTACAACATTACACTGCGCCCCGAGCTTGGAGCTCTTAGGTTTAGTTTAGAAGGCATTGACATTAATCGTTTCAGTTACTTTTGCGATTGTTTCTACTTGCTCAAATCTCAAGTTGTCGAAGCTATTGCGCCGAGAGCGTGCCAATACGGTCCGATACCGTCACGTGCCGGATTAGGCAGCTGCCACCCGCATTAGTAGTCACGTGATCGCGTCTCGTACTGTCAGCCGCAACTGCCACTAACCAGGATAAGTAAGCGCCAAGCCAAACCTCGTGGGTTCGTTCTTGCGCTGTCTCTCTCGTCTGCTCCCTCTCTCTTGTTCTACATCAGCAATCGATACCTTGCGTATCTTTTCTCTCTACTTTAAATCAACATCCATCCCAATCTCTCTCGCCCTGAGAATGAGCCGCAAGCTCGCCCCCGAAGCCAATCGGTACGTGAGGTTACTTTTTCATGCCCCTCCCGAAGCCGGCATGCCAGACTACTGCGCACTATGGAATAGCTGCTAACCTCAATTTCTTCTTTACAGGATTCTCTTTGCCAAGAACCTTAAGTACGTGCTCCATCAATCACCGCTTTACTCCGTCGTGATTCCCGAGATTTCAGCCCTACAGGCTGTCATCTACAAGCGTGATCAGGATCGTGGTCAGACCGTGACAAAATCGCTAACCTTCCGCCATCAGCTATAACGTAACAGCAGAACAGCTGTTTGATCTCTTCGGCAAATTTGGGCCCATTCGGTAATGCTCATCCACGATCCCGTTTCCCAGCTAGATCTAATACTTTTCACTTTCAGCCAAATTCGCCAGGGTATCGCCAACAACTCCAAGGGAACCGCATTCGTGGTATATGAGGACGTTCACGACGCCAAACAGGCATGCGATAAACTAAACGGTTTCAATTTTCAGAACCGTTACTTGGTCGGTACGTGTTACCTGGGTCATCCGGATATCAGAGATCGCACAGAGACGGCTGACTTTCGGGCTTTTAGTATTGTATCACCAGCCAGAAAAGATGCTGCGCACGAAAGAGGACCTCTCAGAGAGGCAAGATAACCTAGAACGGCTCAAACAGCAACACGGGATAGAATGATGTGACGATTTTCTTCTCATGATGCCCTGCTAGCATTTAGCTGCGCATGGTGTTGCAACGACTCTACTCGATTGCGGCTTGGTTGAGGGGTTTCCGGCGTTTTATTCCCTGGGTTTCTTTCTATTTTCAGAGGGTATGGTGGGAGGCGGGCTCTGGTCATGTATTACACCAGATTGATGCGAGAAACACACCCCGCGAGATTGACTTCTTCTTTGTTTATTCTTCTTACTTTTACTATTATTCTTTCCCAATCCGACCCTCTTTGCTCTACCTACTGGCTTCCCTGCGGGGACAGTTTACCTGGGATTGATACAGTCATAGACCGGAAGTCCTTCAACACCCCGGCCTTTATACAATCTACATGTAAATGATTATCCCGAGGGACTCGAAGATGGGTAAAAAAGAGGTGAAAAAAGAGGCCAAAGTATGGCGAAAACAAAGCTGTCATGTTGAGCTGACCCGAAGCTTTGGATCTGTAAATCAGGGTCTAAATAGGTAAGGCTGGCGCAAGACTGGGGCAACAGTACCCACCCTCATGCACGAGGACCTTTGAGACTCAATGAGCGATATAGAGGGAAGCCAACAAGCTTGGGCCCAAAACAGACGCCTAAGATGTCCTTTCAAGATTGCCAAGGCCATAAAAATAGGAGGAAATATCAGCCTCGTCGATCCCGCTGCGGGGATCCTGCCACCGCCCAGGGCGCAGCAACCTACCTCCACCTCCGTCCGCACTGGGAAAAGTGGTCCCTGGATATCTTTTCTCTTATAAGCTGTTACTATCATCTCTGCCCCCTTGCGCTCATACTATTACTTCGATGTCACGCGTATGATGCCCAGTCGCCTCCTTTGATAAGCTTTAGGCGCCAGCTGGACCCTTATTCGACCCCGGTTTCCGGTTTCTGCACATGACACATTCCTTTTGAAACCCCCCCGCCATCTTCTTTCTGGCTCCAGGCTGAGAAACGATGGAAGACGCGACTGCCTCGCTGGCTACGATAGCCACATCTACGCTGATCGCTGCTACCGCCAGTCTCGCCTCTTATGACCGTACCGCCTCTCCGACATCATCAGGCATGCACACACTATATTATCATGGATCAACCTCGGGATCAGAGGAACCAGACGAGGGAGGGGGTGAATGCAAGTTGCTTGGTCCATTCTCTGTATTCGTGCAGGTTGCGCTCGGAGGACTTGCGCTATTATCTCTGGTCTTCAAGAGGTGGAGAGAACGACCACAGCGACCACTCAAGGTGTGGGCCTTTGATGTATCAAAGCAAGTTTTTGGATCGGTGATGCTTCACATGGCAAACCTGCTCATGTCCCTGTTTTCTGCTGGCCAGCTCGAGATTCAGAAGCAATATAAGCCGAATCCCTGCTCGTTTTACCTACTAAACCTGGGCATTGACGTGAGTCTTGATACCACTTATCTTGGTGAAGGACTGCAAGCTAACCATTTTCGACAGACTACTCTCGGTATTCCGATCCTCATCCTCATTCTCCGCGTTCTCAACTACCTCGCCTCCTACACGATACTCGCCAACCCTCCAGAATCAATAGAGTCAGGAAATTATGGCCACCCTCCGCGCGCGACATGGTGGCTCAAACAGTCCATTGTCTACTTTATGGGATTATTCGGCATGAAGATATGCGTCTTTTTCATCATCCAGCTTTTGCCTTTCATCGTCAAATTCGGCGACTGGGCCTTGCGATGGACAGAAGGAAACACAGCTGTTCAAATCTTCTTCGTGATGCTTCTGTTCCCAGTCATCATGAATGCGATTCAATACTACATCATCGACATCTTTATCAAGAAACCGATCTCACACGACATGTACACAGCCGACAACACTAGCGGAGATGCGGCAACAGCCGACGATGCTCAGCGCCGGGAGGCCCTTCTCGATCGCCTGGACGAGTCATATTCAACCGACTCAGATGATGAAACACCAATACTTTCTAAGCCGAAGCCTACTGTGCATACTGTGAAGGAGTCGGAGCACCAATTTACTGAGGATCATTCACCTGTTCCTCCATATGAACCTCCTAGCTCGAGTAGTAGTCGTGTCGATCCTGACTCAAAATTTAGTACTACACACCATTGAACAGCTTGCTTGAGATGTGCCTGAGCTCCGGGGCTTCAATTTCGACTTCTTTACATATCTTTTATGACTGTGAACGTGTATACGATTTGCTCTCGAATATGAATCTGATTTATAGTTTTCTTTCGTATGAATTATCCCTACTAAGTCTCTGGAAATTGCTGCCAAGGCTGGTCCGTACAGCTTGGTTTGAGAAACAACTAATTGACAGTTAAATACACAATCAGTCGAGCTTGAAGTTGTTCGCATTGTGTACTGAAGGCTGCCAAATGCAAGTACATACACCGCCTGATACACCGCTCTCATCTGCCGCCTTTGGAAAAATCAAAGAAGAAAAATATTCTAGCTCCGCCTTAGGATTGTGAACGGTCTACAATTGCTTAATTTGTATCCAAATATTCTCGCCTGGCCGACCCTGCAAATATCTGCGTTTAAATTGCAGTACTTTGCATACCAGGTACCATGCCTAAAGCAGGGCTGAAGGAAAAGACCAAGCGGTCGACCAAGCCGTCCGCGCTCGAGACCACAGCCAAGTTCCGCCCGGAAGATTCAGATGTCGACATGAACGACGAAACGAGCTCGGATGAGGAGAGTGAGCCTGAGAAGGATGAGGCCGAGAAGAAGCTTGAGCGCATGCTCTTCGGTGACGATGAGGGGTTCATGGGCGCATTGAAAAACCAACAAGCCCGTGAGGCCGGCATGGCTCTCACTCTGCAAAGCGACAATGAGAGCGGAGTAGACGAAGATGCCGAGGACGACCAAGAAGCCATTGATGGAATGGCTGATTCAGACGTATGCAATCTGGTCCCGCTTTCAATTGCCAACCGAAGCTTTAACTAACAATTCTGTTTGATCTAGCTTTTCTTCCTCGACTCCGGTGCACCCGCCACTACAGATATCATTCCCTCAGAGACCTCGGATGCTGAAGAAGAGGAGGAAGAGGCCGAGTCTGCCGTGTGGTACGACAGTGACGACGACCGCCTCGCCGTGTCGCTAGCAAGCCAGGCCAGGCTACGCAAACTGCGCACCACCGAGTCGGAAGATGTGGTCAGTGGCAAGGAATATATTCGACGCCTGCGCAGGCAGTTCCAGCAACTGCACCCCACGCCCGAATGGGCTACCCCCGAGCTCGCAGCCAAGCGCCGCAAGACCGACTCAGACTCGGACAGCGAAGATATCGAGTCGGACGATGAGAACGAGCAGCTGTCTATGCAGCCCTTGGCCAAACTCCTCCAGAACGCCTCCGACCTAACCCGCATAGAAGACAATGCGCGGTCAGGAGGCAAGCGCAAGTTGCGACAGGAGGTCCTGGACATCCAGAGACTGAAGGACGTCGGCAAATCCCAACCAGTAAGCACCTACAAACCCAACATCTAGAACTAAGCTAACATCCCCAAGTCCTCCGTCGACTCTCTGACCTTCCACCCCCACTACCCTCTCCTGCTCTCCTCTGGACCAGCCTCAACCCTCTTCCTGCATCACATCTCCCCCTCCGCTCCCGCACCAAACCCCCTCCTAACCTCCCTGCACATCAAGCGCACACCAATTCACACCTCGGCCTTCGCCCCACCAACAGGCAACAAGATCTTCGCATCAGGTCGCCGCCGCTACTTCCACATCTGGGACCTAGACACCGGAAAAGTGGACAAAGTCAACGGCTCCTCGGACCGAAAACAGGAACAAAAATCCATGGAACGCTTCAAGCTCTCCCCCTGCGGCCGGTACATCGGTCTAGTCGGCACATCCCGCAAAGGCGGCGGCCTAATCAACATCCTAGATGCAAACACCGCGCAATGGACCGCCCAAGTCCGCGTCGACGGCCGCGGCGGCGTAGCCGATTTCGCGTGGTGGTCTGACGGCGAGGGAATGACGGTAGCCAGCAAGAACGGAGAAGTATCGGAATGGGACGGACGCATCGGGCGCGTCGTCGCGCGGTGGGTTGATGCCGGTGCCGTCGGCACAACAGTCCTCAGTCTGGGAGGCCGGTCCGGACGTGCTCATTTCGGTGGTGATCGCTGGATTGCCATTGGCTCTTCCAGTGGTATTGTCAATATCTACGATCGACGTGAATGGGCAGCTGCATATTCCAATGCTTCTGCTGCTGAACGGGAGGCTGCGACTCAGTGTGGGATCCCGCGTAGTCCTACACCTGCACGTGTTCTAGATCAGCTTACTACGCCGATCAGCCATCTTGTCTTTGCGCCTGATGGGCAGATGATGGCTATGGCTAGTCGGTGGAAGCGTGATGCTTTGAGACTTGGTATGTTCCCGTTGATGTTGGGCTGTTTGGTTGATTGTTTTGCTAACTGGAGTTGTAGTTCACCTTCCTACTTGCACGGTATACCGTAACTGGCCTACTTCTAACACACCTTTGGGTCGGATTTCCTCGGTGGCTATTTCGCCGAACTCGGAGCAATTGGCTGTTGCTAATGAGCAAGGCAATATCCGTATGTGGGAGATTCGAGGGTAGATTTTACATCTGTGATATGTAATCTAAAATATATATTCATGTTTTCTTTTCATTATTCGTAAGGCATTCCAGCGGCGAATTTCTCCGTACCATTGTACCATTGTAGCATTGAAATTGTATACAGATCTACTCTCCAGGAATGAGTTAGGGCCAATTTATATTGTGAACCTTCGGAGCCTAGACATCATTTTTAAAACTAATAGCTCGATTAGCCATTAAAGACATAGATCAAAAGACCAAGATTAATGATTTATATAAGCTAGCAAAGCAAAGGAAACAAATAATTTTCTGAAATTGCTGTTAATTGTCTAGCGACGATGAACAAACACGCAAACGCCAACCAAAAGGAATCTGGGAATGGAAACGAAAATTTCAAAAGGAGGGCCAGGTAACACGCCACATCACATGCAAGTCGTGTTGAAGTCAGATCAAAGGTCATGGTATCGTTCGTAAGGAAGGGTCTATACTGTTGGCCTTTGGTGAAGGATTTTCAGTAACAAAAAGGGGTATATAGGAGAGCGATATAAAAGGAAACAGAAAAAAAGTGGCAAAGAAGGGAACAAAAGTAAAGAGTGAGTAGGGAATGAGGCAAGGAGTTTCTGGCTGGGAGAATCTTCGCTAGATCTAGGCTGGGTATAGATCAGTGATTTGGGAACGGTATGGTTTAGGAAGAAGGAGTACGGGGCCAATTAACTGCTGGATCACTCGTCAAGAGCTAGTCTCCTAGCCCGCTAGACCCCCACCGCTGTGGACGCTTCCCCTGTTCGACGTAGTTCTTGATAATACAGGGAGCGCGATCAGGGCCTTGGCAAACCTTATGACGGTTGAGATGTTTGAATCGGGGACCGACAGGGCCGTTGACATAGTGATATTGGCCCGCGAATCGATACTGGCGGGGATCACCTAATGGGTAGAACTTATCGCCCCAGTGGCCTTTGAAATAGAACCATTCTGTAGGGGCAGAGGGACTGAAGGTAGAGGCTCGCAGATTATCTTCGTCGAAATCATAGGTGTAGGCGTGTGAGTTGAGTAGAGGATCCCATAGTGGGCCGCGGTCTGTCACGTCGTGTAAGAGTCCCCAGGGTAGAATGTACTCGTGTACCCCGGTAGTGGCGTACATGGCGTGGCTGCCCTCGGCGGAGTAGATGACAGGCTGCAAGGGATGTTAGGCACATATTTAGAAATACCCGCGCTACTTACTCGTTGTCCGATTTTTTCCACCGCTTCATAGCTGTAAGCTTCTCCGCCTTGGTGAGCACTGAAGAAGAGGGCTTTCGGTTTGCCATTGTAGAATCGGACCAGGCAATGCTCCCAATCGCCAACGTGGTTACCAAACCGAACGTTGGCAACGGTATTGCCGAGATTGAAGCTGTAGAAGTAGAACCAGAATGCATCGATGATCCCATTGCCTTTGTCCATCACTACCAGGATTGCAGGGGCATCACTTCGACCGCCAGCCCCATCATCCCGGATCTCCTTGCCGCCATATCGTTTGCGAAGTTCCTCTTTGAAGATTTGCTGGGCTTCGTGATGCTGATCCAGCGTATCATCCGTCGGAATCGTGCCTGGCTGAGTGAAATCGTACCACTGGGCACGATCTTCCTTGGTATCACCAGGAATATCCCCATCCACCCGTCCATCCCAATCAGACCACGATTCCTGTTTGTCTCCACCCTGGGGTATGTTCCTCTCACCCTCCAACCACGGCGGACGACTCTGCACATCATCGTTGCTAGTCAAGTACACCGGCCACCCTTTTTCCCACTGATTCAAATCATCCAAGTTGCTCAGCGTCGGATGATCCCAATGCGCCTGAATCGGAGTATAATTGAGAAACGGGGTCGTGTGATGCAGATGCTCGGCGATATCACCAGGCCAGAACTGTTCGCCAGAATAAAGGTGGACGAGTGGGGCGTAGTGGAAAACAAAGTCGGGGATCAGCCGAGCCCGCTCTTCTGCGTCTCCGCGCCAAAACGACCGCCAGCGCTCACTGGACTCGGCATCCGTCCAGCCTGCTGGATCGCGCTGTCCAAATCTCCCCTTGGCCATTTGTAAATGCGCCGCGCCGCACACACTCAGCCATCGACATGCCTTGCGGTCGAACCAGGACCGTGAACTCGCAATCCAGTGCTGCTCGTCCCGGTCCTCTGCATACCACACAAATGCAGCGGGTCTAGTGATACGGACTATGCTGTTGATGGAGACATAGACGATCAGGGTGGTGAGCAGGGCAATGATTGCCTTGGCCTTCCGGGTCATCTGCTGGATTGCGCCGACATAGACTGTCAGGGCCGTAGAATGTTAAGATCGAGGCCAAGGGTTCAATGCAAGGTGGGATGGTGGGACGAGCGATAAGAAGAACAGGGCACACAAAACCTATATAAAGCACCGAGTCATTGTTAGAAGGGAAAAATGAAAAGCCAAAAGGGCCCAGAACTAAACTACCGGGAACGTGCGGAAATGCAAAAGGCAATAGGTCCGCGATCGACTTGCAGACGCTTATCCGCCCAAACCCGAGACTGACAAGGATATGATGCGAAGTGGGTTGGGAGATGGTGATTCCATAAGGCTGAAAATATGCGAATACTTGTACTACTTAAGACTACTTGATAAAGGGTCTGACAGCCTTACAACTACCTGTAAACAAAGAGCAATTGACATGTAATTCTTCCATTTGCCACAATGTCTGACTTGGTTATTTATTGACAGAGGGGGGGAAATGATCTCACCGCTTGCAGAGGCTGACTCAGATCTTATCTCCGTTTTGGTCCATTCCATGATTCATCCCTTCATTGACAATGGACTCGGATTCAGAATATGAGTATGAATATGGGACGGAGACGGAGGTGAGTACTTCCATCGGTTCCATCGGTTCCTGAGAGACCTGCTAACCCAATAGACCTTCTATCTCAACTTGGATTTGAGCTCCCACCACGGCGCAGTGCGACCACCCCGCCGTCGCGACAAAACTTCCATCCAGACTACAGATGACAATGGCTATAGCAACCCCCAAGAAGCCTTCACCCCGATCGACACCACCGAGGGGGCTGCCCTACCAGACGAGCGAATCCAGATCCTCGGTCTGCACACGTGCAACCCGGTGGTGTCGTACTACAATCAAATATTCAGCTGCTCCTGGGCCGACCAGATCGGCACCGAACTAGTGTTTGCCAATCCCGACACAGATCCTGATATGGACAGCCACCCCACAGAGCCGTTGCACCGTGGCCCCTCCTACGAGCTTATCGCCGCCAACAGCGCGAAGATCCTCGGTCGGAAAGCCACACTCGCCTCAAGCTCGGGCAAGGGAACGGACCCCGAAGGAACCTTAAACTCGGGTACATCTGCAGAGGCGTCCTCTCAGGGTCCAGCATACCAAGGCGTGCCCCGTCGAGCCGCGCCGACGCACCAGGCGCAGTTTATTCAACGACTGCAGCAGATCAAGACGGCAAAGGGAGAGACGGATCCAGTTCGCACGGTCATGAGTACAAAGCGCAACGTGAACATTACTGACCGGCTGACTGGCTGGGCCCGTACCGAGGCGCAGATGGTCGAGATCGAGCAACTCAACCAACGTGCTCTTCAAGGGGATCCAGAGGCTCAGGCGACGTTAGAGCAGCTGATTCAAGAGCTTAATGCACCTGAGAATTCTGGATCGGATGAGTCTAGTGATGAGAGTTCTGTAACTTGAACTGCAGATCGACCAGAACCGAGTGAGGGTCTAGACCCTGTGTCAAGTGTTGTCACAGTTGTTAACTTATCGCATGGCGAGGTGATGAACCTCAAAAGAGCCTTCCGGCTCCTCGAGTCTGGCCTCCTTACCCGATATTCATACCATCCGTCCAAAGTACGGAAGCACGGGATGGAGCACGTCAACTTTTACTTGGTCCTCGGATATCGGATATCCTTTGACATTCACGCTATGATTTCATAGCCATCCCGTGGAGTTGCCGATGAACCGAGGGGGGCACTAACGAGAAAGACAGATATGCTCCATCTTCACCAGAAGAACGGAGTACGGAGTAAAGCGAATCATCCTCAAGAATACGGTGTACATCTGTCTTCCTTTCCTGGAACACCAACCTGGAATACATATACATGTATGTCATGCACAGCAGAGACGAAGCCGAGAACTCCCTATCAATTCGCCCCACAAACCACGCGAACAGTGCATCGACTGGACCCTGTTAGCTTAGCTTAGTTCGCTCTTCCCCGACGTGCTAAAAACAATGAACTCATACTCCTTCATATTCCCGCCCGGTAACGTCATGCTATAACTCAATTCATGGATGCTATCCCTGATCTCGTCTGTATTCCCTGATCAAAGCAAACACTATCCTGCTAGGGAGTCGATACACTTTTTGTTTATCCCGATCGTTGTTAGTTTTCTTTCTTACGGGTAATTGCTCCGGTAAAGATGTTGAGTGGTCTTGTCTCCTTCCCTGAAGAGGTGACGTCGTGATCGGCGCGATCCTCAGATGCAGTAGATCTCATTGTCGGGTTCATGGAAGTCGATTTGTTCTGTACCATATACGGAGTAGAGGTACTTGCATACGGTACGTTGTGTCTCTGTACGTAATAGTAGATATCGGGGGAATAGGCTGCAGGGAGGCCTGAGTCTGTGTGCTCGTGAGTTCCAGTCGATGCGCTGTCAGATTTAACCCAATACACTATTACAAGAGAGGAACTGCTATACAGAGTAGAGGCAGGATATTACAGAGAAACAAAGAAAAGTAAATATAAGAATATTCCGATTATGATAGTACGTAGAGTATCAAATATTCCAATTTCAAAACCCGAGGAATTCAGAGAAACACCAGAAACTCCCCAGACTTTTGAAATCCCAGCCAGAAGAAAAGAACGAGGGAAATAATAATGTTCACGCCGCCATGCACTCGCTAAATCCAACCGGCGACATAAAACAAACCAAAAAAAAGACGAGACAAAAGCACAGGCATAGGCTAAATGACATCGAACATGCCAAGGACATGAAACAAAACAAGAGCAACCAAAGTAGTCATCGAACTTTCACTGCATACATATGTAACCAGCAGTAAGGACCCGATCAAAAATGTTGATACAAAAGCCAAACCCGCAAACCCGAAAGCAAGAGCAATAGTAAGAGAAAGAGAGAGATGTGTGATCTACTCCAGACTCAAACTAGGAATATCAGCAAAAGAGCCCTTCTTACTCCCCTTGGCGAAAGCGACAGGCGAAGGAGGAGGCGCCGGAGGCATACCGTCCACCAGGGTGGAACGGGTCTGTTCTGGCTTTTGGGTTGAGGCTGTCATCATGGCATGGGAGATATCTCGCGGGAAGAACGCAGGAGGCATGACGGGAGTTGCGGTTTTGGTTGAGACGGAGGCCATTGTTTTTGTTGATGTAAATGAGGTGAGGTGAGGATATGAGGATATAAAGAGGTAGGGTTGGTTGGTTTGAGGTAGGAGTTGTTGTTTGTCCGTTGAAGTATGGAGGTGGAGGAACAGATTATATATGAAAGCCGGAACGAGCCCAACGGCACTTTTTGTACTGGATAACGTATGTAGAAGCTGAAAGACCGATATGCCGGGCGTGATAGTAAGGCGTGACCGAACAACCTCGGTAGAAAGGTATGATCGAAGCTTGACGTATAAGGGTAGATCTTTTTGTGGGTATGAGCTAGATTCACGAGATCGAGTCAGCATCTGATGTGGTATGTACAGCTTCTGTGCTCGGATCTGGCATATGCTTCGTGTATAGTTGGAGGCAAAAGTTCCGAACTTGCCCGAGCAAGACCCGATTCTCGGTGGATCGGACCGGAGGGCGATGTGACGCGGGTATATGGAGTAGGAGATGATTACTCACATGGAATTAGAATTGATTTCGGGTTGATTGGGGTTTATAGGTGGAGGGAATGGAGATGATAGTGTAGAGTATGTAGATAGTGAAGCTGTATAGACTGTATAGAATGTATAGACTGGACTTGGACAAGTCGATAGTGTAAATAGACCGAGCAGAGAGAGTGAGTGAGTGAGAAACAAAAAGCAGAGGGCCGGGTAGTTATATCTTCAGGGGAGTATATAATAAGACAAAAACAGCCAGTGTGGAGGTACATGCCTGGGGAAGTACCCAGTACATACCTGGGGCCAGACCCAAGGCCTCGTAGATCTTCCTGCCAAGCCCAATCGCCTCATTCTAAACCTCCCCAGGGCCCAATAATCCATGAAAGTAGGGGAACATTCTCCATCGGAACAGCGGGAGCCCAATCCGGAGCCTGTCGGGGAGAAAAGGGGTCTGACGCGTTAGTGTGGGGATTGGCTAGGGATCGAATGAATCGATCCTTTCCACAGCTTACGGCTTACAGCTTACTATAGCCGGCTGAAGCGGCAAGGTATTGGAACTAGGAAATGGACTAGCAGGCAATATGTCTCGAATATCTTGCACTTCTTTCTTCTAGCGTTTCTATGGAAAAACCCGGGGTCAACTTCGGCAGAGCGGATACGGCGATCCTTTCTCGAACAAAATTGAGGCCCGGCAACCAGTCTGTCGGTGTTGACGGATACACTTCCCCATCTGTTGCGGTGTAGGAGAAATGAGTGGCGAGACAGACTATTTTCGTCTCTGCAATACTTTCTTCCGCTGTATCAACCCGTCTTTACCCACCGCTGTTCCGGAACTTTTTTTGGACACCGCAAACCGGGAGATGCGGGAAGATCTAGTCGATCTTCTCGAAAATTGAGACAGTCGGCTATTGAAAGATCCTTCGTCGTTAAGAAGGGTTGATGCTATATCCGATACATGTACGGAGTCCGGAGTATACGGGGCACAACACGCAACCACTCCACCTGGGCGCATACACACACGTCCGACGACTAGAAATACTAACACAGCAGACGCCACAAATCAAACACAAGATTTAGCCATACTGTATGTATTCGCACAAGCAGAAGTGGGACCACGCCAGGGGCCGAAACAAAAACAGTCTGGGGCGCAAATATTCTTTGAAGGACAGGGATAAAACTCGAAGTCCGGGGTTCATCTTTTCCCAACATTTCTCTTTTGTGTTCCCTTGATCGTCTTTCCAATTCTCATGGGCACCCCTTAGCGAGAGCGACACGTCTAGGTTAAGCGAACTCTCGTAACAAAGACAAACGTACCAAATCCACCTGTAAACCCCCTAGGCGCTGGAGGCTTGATCGACAAGGAAATTCGGAAAAGCTCCACCATTCTTCCCCCGGATTCAAGGGGTATATATGTATGGATCTCTACTATTCCCCAATACTATGCACTCTGCCACCTACGTAGGAGGATCTGGGGGAAAGGGGGGCTCCATTCCCTCGATAACAACGTTACTATCTACGGTTCCAGTTGCTGGGGCGCATATTTTGGGAACCGGGTGCCCCTTGGCTTCCAATGTGGGATTTATTGACGATACTGCATGGATACGTAGCATCTATGCATTTGGATGTATACGTACGCCACTACTCAAATACAAATACAAAGACAAATAGAAATACAAAGATAAAGATAAAGATAAAGAGAACTTTCCAACATGTTGGGGCGATAAACTTCGCGCATGACTGACTGACTTGTCCTCTACACCGCTCGTTTCAACAATCTGGAGGAAAGGGAGAAGGGGGGAAATGATGAGTTGTCTTGTGTCTATGCCCATGTGGCGCCAACGGGCTGGTAGATTCGTCAGGTACACGAATGTACAACACAGCATCCATGCATTGATTATCAATGCTGACTATGTACCGGTACTTGGGAGGATTGTTTGCTGATAAAGGTAAGTTATCCCAACGGTTAACTTCGATTGTGCCTGGTTTTGGTGCATGAATTTGATGCAACCTGCACGGAATTTCTGGCTTCGTGTCAAGATGAGACAACGATAACAGGACATTTGGATTTGGGGTTGTTCATGGTACGTTAACTTGTCGTGCTTGTATTACCCCTACCCTCCACGCCCGGACTGCGATCGAGCGCAGGGCTGGACTATGCTATGTAGGGGATACTTGTGAGATCGAGTGAGATCGAGACCCGATGATCAAGGACTCTCTGTTGGGGACCTCGGGAAGGTAGCCGATCTACAATCTGTCTAACGTTATAAATTTGGTGTTGTAGTGGTTGCATATGTAGATGTTGTTCCAATGATAGTTGATAACTGATAGCTGATTCTGCTTGTGTATCCAAAGATGATTTCAGGAACAGCCCTGGCAAGCTAAAGGTTTCTATTTGTCCAACGTATAGATTGTGTTTGGAACGGATCTTGGCCTGACCAGATCGTCTGACCCTATCTCAATGAATACTCCATACTTGTCTGTGTAGATAGGGTAGCCCTCCGAGTCGGGATATCCTTACGAAAGAGACTTCCCCAGACCACAATTGTGACCTGAAATATAAGGCCCACATCACGGGAGTGCTGGTCACGGGAGTGATTACCTCATCTCGGGAGCATCTGCCAATCGCGAGCGCGCCGAGAGTCCGCAATCACGTAAAGCCCCGCCGGATAACTTGGATTGCGTGAAAAATGTGCAATTCATGTTGGAGACGGACTCCGTACATTAGGCCAGATGCGCTATTTCTGGCGAATAATAGTCCATGACCGTCAAAACGTGCAGGCCTTGGATCAAGGGGGCAGGGCCATGCCGGTACAATAACCCCGCAAGTCGACGATCCAGGTACCAAAGCCCCTCCGGTTGGAGATTTTCTTCTGTCACCGGCCCGGTGATAGGGCCAGGCCGGAAAAGTCTTGGTAATAGTTGAACATACCCCAAAGCGAAAATCCCCCGGACTGGACATTTCAACCAGTGGGAGGCAAAGAGAGAATCCGGGGGTTGTTCAACAACCTTGTGAAATGAGGCATTTAGCATATATTGTACGTGATATTGGAAGTCTGAGGCAATTGAGTGGGTTTATGACACATTGCATTCCACGATGTTCCCAAGCACATCATAGTAGCATAGTGCATAGTGTGCTTTGACTGCGGCGACTGCTTTGTATAGAACATCTCAGGTGACCTGGCTTGGACTCTATTTGCGGTGTCACCTGCTCGGTTGCCCCTGTAGAGCAACTAAACATCTCAGCCACGTTCCAGAATTGAGGCAATTGTTTCGGCCCGCATGACGCATTGCTATCTTGTTCGGCTCGGAGAGCCACTGGCTTCCAATGAGAGTGGCGTATGTCGCCGGGCTTTAGTCAAGTCAAGTGGAGCAGGAGTCGAGACGCTGGTTGAACCGCCTAGCGTCGGTGATGACAGAGTGGACCGAGTAAGAATAGCAGAGAATCAAGTCAGACTATAAAAAGATCAGGGTTCCCCGGATTTTCTTCATACTATCAACCTCGTTTTCTGACTTCCATGGCGACAGTCGATTATCAGTAAGTGAGGTGAAGTGGCGTCCCTTACTTCTTATCTCTGGAGATAACCACATGCCCCACGTGAGCTCTCGACTAACCTTCATACTTCGACGTAGACTTCTTCATCTTTACTTTACGTGTTAAGAGATCACTCTCAACATGTCTTCTCCTATTTCTACCCCACAATCTGAAAGCGGCTTGCCCGCGCGGCCTTTTCCCCAGGCACTTACCAGCCATGATGGAAGCTCCGGCACTGGTACTCCCATCGGTTTCCAGCGCTACCCTCCTCACAACAAGCACTTGGATCATGCTGTAGGAAATGCCCTCCGCCAGCCGTCACCACAACCTACCCACTTGGGTATTCCCGGTACCCCCCAGCACCGTGTGTTGTCTGAAGAGGACCCGGGCTACATTGCTGCTACTTTTGAGGGCAAGCAGAAGCAGATGGAACAGGGTCAGTGGAAATTCTCATGTTGTTTGCAAAGAAAATAGCTAATTCCGAACAGTCATGCTTCAATTGGAGGAGAAGGGTTTCTTCCCCAGTGACTTTATCGAATCCGAAACTACCTGGTTCTACAATAAGCTTGGCATCGACGATACCTACTTCCAAACCGAGACGGTGCCTGCCATCGTGACCCAGATTCTCTCCCTCTACGCCGCCAAAGTGGCCGCTTATGCCCGGGATGATAGACAGCTGGAGATCCGTTTGGACAAGGAGGCCGAGGACCACGCTGTGTACATTGATACCAGCCGGCCCGGTATTTCTACCGTGAATGGCCCTCGTTACGAGCAGCGCATCGACGAGAAGTACGTCAACCACTCCAAGGGTGCTGATAGCTACCGTGTCGAGACCTTCCGCTCGCCCACCACTCTTCCCGGCAATGATGGCCAGCAGCTCCGCTGCTACTTCGTCTACAAGTGCCAGTTTGCGAACCCCAACCCCTCACCAAACGAGACCAACATCGAGATCATTGGTGAGAAGCGGTTCCTACAAAAGGCCACCCCCAACACCAAGGCGGTTTACCAGGAGATCATCACCACGGCTGTCGGCCGGTCCGGTCCCGTCATCGAGATGTTCGAGATCGAGGGCAGCCGCGAGAAGCGTTTGGTCATTGCCTACCGCCAGGGTTCCGCCATGGGTCTCTTCAGTGCTCTCTCGGATCTGTACCACTACTACCGCTTGACCAGCTCACGGAAGTACCTGGAGAACTTCTCTAACGGTATCACCGTTATCTCGCTGTACCTCCGACCCTCACCCGAGTCTGGTGTCTCGGCCAAGTTCCCTCCCATCGAGGCCGCCATCCACCAGATCATGAAGGAGACCTCCCTCCTTTACTGTATTCCCCAGAACCGCTTCCAGGGTCACTTTGCTACTGGCCGGCTCAGCTTGCAAGAGACTATCTACGCTCACTCTGCGTGGGTCTTTGTGCAGCAGTTCCTCAACCGTCTGGGATCAGAGTACACTTCGTTGTCTGCTCTCCTAGATAACAACAACAGTGTCCACGCAGAACTTTTGTCGAAGATCAAGAAGCGTCTCCGTACCGAGACTTTCACTGCCGACTACATTTTCGAGATCATCAACAAATACCCCGAGCTCATCCACAAGCTCTACCTTGACTTCGCCAACACCCACTACGTTCAGACCCAGGGCCCCACTGGCGATGACTTCCTCCCCACCCTTAGTTACCTCCGCCTCCAGGTGGACGAGGTCCTCGACGGTGCTAAGCTCAAGCAGCTGATCCGCAGCACCGCCGTCAACGAGCACGACGAGATGGTGATGAACTCATTCCGCGTGTTCAACTCCTCCATCCTCAAGACCAACTTCTTCACCCCCACCAAGGTGGCCCTCAGCTTCCGCTTGAAGCCGGACTTCTTGCCTGAGCACGAGTACCCCCAGCCCCTGTATGGTATGTTCTTGGTCATTAGCTCCGAGTTCCGCGGTTTCCACCTGCGCTTCCGTGATATTGCTCGCGGTGGTATTCGTATTGTCAAGAGTCGGAACGGCGAAGCATACAACATCAACGCTCGCTCGTTGTTTGACGAGAACTACAACTTGGCCAACACCCAACAGCGCAAGAACAAGGATATCCCCGAAGGCGGTGCCAAGGGTGTCATTCTGTTGGATGCTGATCACCAGGACAAGGCGCGGGTCGCCTTCGAGAAATACATCGACAGTATTCTCGATCTGCTCCTGCCCCCCGTCAGTCCCGGTATCAAGGACCCCATCGTTGACTTGCACGGAAAGGACGAGATCCTCTTCATGGGTCCCGATGAGAACACTGCTGAGCTTGTCAACTGGGCTACTGAGCATGCTCGCGGCCGTGGCGCTCCCTGGTGGAAGTCGTTCTTCACTGGCAAGAGCCCCAAGCTGGGTGGTATTCCCCACGACACCTACGGCATGACCACCCTCTCGGTCCGCCAGTACGTCCTCGGTATCTACCGCAAGCTGAACATCAACCCTGCCACCATGCTGAAGCTGCAGACCGGTGGTCCCGACGGTGATCTCGGATCCAACGAGATCCTGCTCTCCAACGAAAAGTACGCCGCCATCGTTGACGGAGCTGGCGTCATTTATGACCCCAATGGTCTGAACCACGAGGAGCTTCTCCGTTTGGCCAAGAAGCGTGCCATGATCTCCGAGTTCGACATGTCCAAGCTGTCCCCCGACGGTTACCGTGTCCTGGTCGACGAGAAGAACGTCAAGCTCCCCAGCGGCGAGGTCGTCCACAACGGTATGATCTTCCGTAACACCTACCACCTCCGCTCGCAGGAGAAGTTCGACATGTTCGTGCCCTGCGGTGGCCGCCCCGAGTCCATCGACCTGTCCACCGTCAACAAGCTCATCAAGGACAACAAGTCCATTATTCCTTTCATCGTCGAAGGTGCCAACCTGTTCATGACCCAGGACGCCAAGTTGCGCCTCGAGAAGGCCGGCTGCATCCTGTACAAGGACGCCTCCGCCAACAAGGGTGGCGTGACTTCCTCCTCGCTCGAAGTCCTCGCCTCGCTGTCATTCAACGACTCCGAGTTCGTCGAGAACATGTGCATTCGCGAGGACGGCACCGTCCCCGACTTTTACCAGGCCTATGTCAAGGAAGTCCAGGAAGTCATCAAGCAGAACGCCGCTCTCGAGTTCGAGGCTATCTGGCGCGAACACGAGCAGACCGGTGTGTTGCGTAGTGTGCTGAGTGACCGTCTCAGTATCGCCATCACTAAGCTCGACGAGGAGCTCCAACAAACCGAGCTCTGGGACAACGTTGCCCTCCGTCGCTCGGTTCTCAGCGATGCTCTGCCCCGTCTGCTTCTTGGCAAGATCGGCCTCGAGACCATTTTGGAGCGCGTACGTTCCCACCCCATTCTACATCTTATCATATTGAATAATCACTAACATCTTCCAGGTCCCCGAGAACTACCTCCGCGCCATCTTCGGTTCCTACCTGGCCAGCCGCTTCGTCTACGAATACGGCAACCAACCCAGCCAGTTCTCCTTCTTTGACTTTATGACCAAGCGCCTGGCCCAGATCCAGTCCTAGACATGGATGTTTGGCTCTAGAAAATATAAATTCCCCCTATTCCCGATGTTGATTTTGCGTTAGTTCTCGTTTGCTTTTCCTTTTTCCTTTTTCCTTTTTCCTTTCCTTTTGGATGACTCTTCCCGTGTTGCATGATATATACCTTAATCCGGAACGGAAAAAAGCAATTGTTCCCTGACGAATGTATGGTTAGAAAAGTTCTGGTGATGTTTTGGTTTGAAGGGGTCCGAAAGAGATGCGGTTCTTTCGCGCAATGCGATCCTTAGAATTGGATTCTTTATTACTTTTTGGAATGGCAATTCTATATAGTAGCTGTAGAGTAGTAAGATTGGCAATTTAATGATACGCAGGGTCTAGTCTTGAATTGTCTGGTAGATACACCACGAAAGCAGCACATTGCCTAAATGACCCTCTTTCTCCAACCGTCCGTTGCAAATATGACGTCGTAAGATAATGCGGCATATAGCACTCTATCACCTCTAAGAAATTATGTTAACAGTGGCACGCCGTCTTCTGCTACTGTTGTGAACACTAACGTGGAGACAATAGTGTTTGGCTTTGGCAGTCTCTCTCATAGCACGACATAATATAGTTGTATTCAAAATTAGACATACCACTTGCAGCGAACATCGTACATAGGTAGCTCTATATACCAGAAAACCTCTGCACGCCAATGGCCAATTTCGGCCTCCCGTTCGCCATCTCATTGGATACATAAGAGAAAGCCGAGACTTAAACAACCTCGCTGGCCTTGACATAAATGCTTTCCCCTTATTCATCGTACTCTAATATCAACACGGGTAGACCAAAACACGGCTCCATGCCCAGTTTAGTGGGTAGTGGCTTACATTGTCTCAGTGACCGGTCAAGGTAAACGAAATAATCCATTTTTTCTGTCTGTAGCCTTAAGATTATCAATGCGACAAAAGCTTTGAAGTGCCCTAGAAGACACGACAGCGAATGTTTCATCCTACCATAATGTAATGAGTGCCAGCCCAACTAGGTCGATAAGTTTATATGGGTTTGACGGCTTGCATTTTCAACGAGCTGCTTTTCAAGATCCCCAAGATACCCACATTTACAGTGATCAATGACTTGAGTAGTAAGGAGATGCACATTATTGGCCGAATTCGTTCCTATTCTCTGGCGGATTATCATCGTCATTGCCATTTGCTTCATCCGTAGCCATCTCAATGTGGTCACTTAGCCCCGTCCTCTGCATCTTCCTTTGCCGAAGGCACTTAGGAGGTGACCTCTCGAGATCGCGGTTACGGGACTGCCTGCCAGGGTAGCGTACGGGATGGTGGCGAAGGAACTGGCGTACATATGGGAGACAGCCACATATGATAATGAAGCTAGCCTCGATGTTGCTAGCGGCAAATCCGGCGTGTTAGTAATCCGCCGAAGCACGGCAATGAAGACCAGTATGCTTGAAAATCTCAAGGAGGACACCGTACATAAATAAGCTAGCCAATGCAATTCTGTACGGCTGATCTGTTGATGTAACCAAAGGCCATAGTGTTGCTAATCGAAGAATGCTCGTTATTATGGTGCTGTTTGGAAAGAGAAGTTAGTGGCAAGCTACAATAGTCATAGACACACTGTAGGCAGGAGTATTCTGTAAATAGGGGACAGCTTCTTACAGACAGCCGATGCCAAACATGCAAATTACCCCTATTTTCTGGATAAGGGGCATCCGAAGCTTTCGTACAACGCTGATTGGAATGAGGATCAATACCACGTCACTAACAGTGTTGGTGATAGCCGTGGCTAGATACACGCCATCTCGGTTAATGCAAGACCCAGTTGAAATCGACGCATCCCAATTCTTTTGAAGTGGGTGACATGCAAAGATAAGGGCTAGGGTCAAAGCAATGCTGTACCCTGAAATGAGAAATGCGACGAGGAAAATAACATATTGCCACATCCGGACTGTGTACAATAGCCTATAGTATAGCATAAGCAATGATAGTTTTGCTAGCGCAAGGGCGGGGACGTAGATAATCGCTGCGGCCAATACTGTCTAGGAGATAACAGAACAATCAGTTAGACGTGTTTTTCTTGGTAGTAGATAACGACCGGTATTTTCATATACCTTCTGGTATATGCTCATAACAGGCAAGGTCAAGTTCGATACATGAACCCCGAAGCCCGCATGGATATATCCCCCTGTAACGATATAATTAGCTCCGTTTGTGGCATTGCTCCGTCAAAAAGACATACATAGGATTACGGCCTGAGTTCCCAAGGCGAATACCTCGTAACGGAAAAATCAGTGCTGCTAGAAGTGCCTGTGGCGATCAAAACATACCCAAGCCAGAATTAGGAGTACTATTAGTCGAATTAATTATCATCCGAATGTGGGAAAGAAAAACACACTATCATCCCACCAGAACTTTCTCATCAACCGGGTTTTAACATAAATCCGCAATATCAGTAGGCCGGTGCTAAGACCTATCCCGACGGAAGCTAATATCCGATTCGCTGTCCGCAACCACGGCTTTGGAGGCACTTGGATTGCAGCAAGTCGTGAAGTTGACATTGCGGGAGTCCACAGTATTTGTGTGAATGATAAAGGAAGCTGTCAACGATCATCAAGAGCGCGGTATCCCTTGCCCACAGGAGATAACGGCGAAGTTCAAACACTTTCTATGAATAATTGAGAAGGAATCTGTGCATCACTGTTGTTGCAAGGATGCAGCATAAAATCATACTCTAGCTAAAAACAAGATCCTGTGGGGATGATATCAGCGTAAAAGCGTGCTCCGGTGGTAGAAAACAACTGACGCAGGAATGACGGCCAGACCCGCGGTTTCACCCCCCAATTAAGTCCACATCCGTTTTTAATGCCCACAGCTGAAAAACATTAACCGCCATTATTCAATCCACTGAAATTGTTCGAGCAGCTTCTCCGCTTCATGTTCAAGGTTAATGGCTTGGTCATTCGACATAGGGTGACAGAAGAAGAATGATCTGGAACCTAACCATTCTGGAACAAAAGCTCGCTATCATCATTTCGAAGAAAATCACTCTGCTTCAGAGAAGATGTATAAACAACACCACCATCATCAAGGTTCTGGCAGGAATACGTCAAAGCTCGAGAATCGGAGCCAAAATCGTACCAACAATTGTCGGCACCTGCCCATGCCGACAACAGAATGAAAAGCGCAAAACTAAGACGAATGAACTGTATATGGAAGGGCTGGACTGGGTGAAATAATATGAAAGACGGAGATGTCGGTCCATAAGAGACTAGGCTTTTATGTTGTATGTTTCGCCGCCTCCTCCCTGTCCTATTACATATGAGGTTCGAGCAGATGTTCTGGCTTTATTGAAGCAAGCTGAAAAGCGAATACCGTGGCTATATCGTTGTTATGGGCCTCACATCCAGGCATTAGCCTGCCACGCTCCTCGAAACTTTGACCCAGTATCATGTAGAGGTGTCTGCCATTTGGTGAGGAAGTTGGTATGTACCAATTCTGATGTCCGCTTAGGCGTAATATACCCAAGGAATCAGGGCTTAGTTGAGGGTAATGGCATCGCGGTCACAACAAACACACAGTAGTGGCAGGCTCCATATATTTGTTTGCGATGCCATGAAATTCATATAAATAGGTGTCAGGAAAAGTTGTCTCAGTATTTATAATCTTTGGGAAGGGGTCTCTGAGTACCTATTTTGAGGAGGATTTTTACCACGACGCTTTAACTCCGATGAGCAATTGTTTTCGGTCAAAAGAGATTCCCGCATCTATGTATTACGCAGACGTAGATTGTGCACAATTTGAAGTCCCATTTTAATGAGGTCTTGAGTCATTGTCTCGCTGCTCAATTATTTTAGTGGCCAACAATTTCCATAAACATAGGTAGGTCTTCTTAGTATGTTACCTGGCTTTCTCCTACTTTTACTCCGAAAAGAGCTTGAATACTTATTTTAAGCCAATTATATAATTCATCCCACATGTAATCATAAAATCCCGATGGCAAACATATGCCATGCCCTCAAGCGCTCAAACTTTGCCCTTACCACCCCAGAATGAACTCTTCTCTCCAGGCGACTTTCTTTTGAAAGCTGCTTCAATCTCAGCAAATGTCCGACCTTTGGTCTCATGCATATAGAATATGCCAACAACTGCAGTAATAATACTACACCCACCCCACAAAAAGTAGGCACCAAAACTACTCTTCGCGAGTAGAATCGGGGTGGTCAAAGCAACCAAGAAATTGCACAGCCAGTTACTAGAATGACCCAGTGTCGTAGCTGATGCTCGTGTTCGCTGGGGCTGGATCTCTGCCGCGTAGACTTTGACGGCGATGCCCCAAGAAACAGAGTAAAGGGCGGCAAATAGGAAAATACAGACGATCACAACCCAGCGACCGGCGCCGGTGGATTGGTGGACGGCATTTCCAGCATACAAGCCACCCATAAGGAACATTAGAACGGCTTGGCCGATACCGCCGTAGACGATGCTGCTTCGGCGGCCCCATCCATCGGCGTAGATCAGTCCTGGGATGGTTACGGCGAAGATGACCAGGGCTGAGACACCAGAGGCTAAGAAGCTTGCTTCTGATGAAGCGAGGCCTGCCTTTTGAAAGAGTTCAGGGGCATACTGTCGAATTCGGGTTAGCTTTTTTCAATAGCGAGGCGTGAGATTGGACATACGTAAAGGACTCCATCGATACCACTCATCTGTTGCATGCCCATCAAGAAGACAGCAAGGGCAGTTCTGCCTCTCACATCCTTGGAGAAGATATCCATAAGTTTCTCCATGGTGCTTTGGCCATCCACCTCAGTACCAGGTTCAACCTCCGTTGTCTGCACTTGAACTTCAACCTTCTCACGGTCCGCACAATTGACACCCAACTTATCCCAAGCCTCTTCAGCCATAGCATAGCGACCCTGAAGACCAAGCCACTGCGGCGACTCAGGCAAGAAAAGCAAGGAAAGACCACAAAGAACCATAGAAAACGCAGAAAGAAGAATAAATGGCATCCGCCACGAAAGCGAAGACTGAATATTCGAAGTCCCATAACAAACAAAGTAACCAACAACCAATCCCATCGTTATAGCCAGCTGAGGACCAGTAGTCAAAGCACCTCTAGTGCGAGTCGGTGAAATCTCACAAATAAGAACAACAAGATTCCCAAGAAAAAGACCCTCCCCCAGACCTTCAACAACACGACCAACGACAAACATTGACAGCTGCACGGCGCCTGCTTCAATCGCGGCACCAATACCGAAGATGAAAACACCGATACTGATTCCCTTTGGTCGACCTAGTCGGTCGGCAATATAGCCAGCAAAGAAGGAAGAGAGGGCTGCTGGAATCAAGATACAGGAGACGACCAGGCCGTGGATTGTTGAGTTTTGACTACCGCCAAATTCAGCTTTGAAGTCTTCCATATCGGTAACTGGGCCGATGACTCCTGTGTCCATTCCGAAGAGGAGGCCATTTGCTGAACAGAGGATGCAGGCTAGTAGGTATCTTGGTGGGGTTTTGAAAGGGATTGGGAATAATCCCATGATGTCGTGACTTAGGGCTTGCCGGGTGAGTCAGGCAAGGTACTCAATGCTTTATTCTTCGGGTGTCGTTTGAAGTGGAAGGAATTCTAGGAATGCAATCCGGGAATACAGTAAGTGCAAGAGAGATTATTATAAGAATGCGTGGGATGAAAACTCTTCTTTACATTTCTCCCTAAATGCTCCGTTAGTACATGTACATGCCCCACGTGGCAGTCCTTATCTACAGGACATGCATGGAGCACGAAGCATGAAGTAGGTAAAGCGACCTGAGAGCTGACCATTTGTGCCTAATATACTGTCATTCTCGCTTATAAGTTATCTATAGAAAGGCCTCTATACAACGACCACAACTTAAAATAGCTACTCGGTTTCAGGAACACATCCTGAAAGTTCACAGGGCTGTCCCGGAAAAGGGTCTCCGGGGTGTCGATTTCTTCACGGCCCGAGCTGGGTGGAAAGCGTACCGAGTCTTTTGTGGGCCGTTTCGCGTCCTTTGCTATCCTGGGCGATCCATTGGCCCCACTACGGCTTTTAGGCTTGTTCTTAGGGTTCTTTTGTATTTAGCCGGATCTTGAAAATTTTCGATTTGACATTGCAGATTAGAATCGGCGCTTATAATTCCCGAAACGGGATAAGAAGTCGAGTCAGGTAATCATAGGCAAAGTGCCTGGTTCGGCGTTGGGCGATAACTTAGGCTTCTCATACTACAAGTCGGAGTTATTTAATCTTGAAATATGATCTAAATATTTAAGTATAACAACCGTTGTTTGTGAAATGATTTGGACCTTCATAGACATTCTTTGCTAAAAGCACATCTTTTTGACTCGCTAGATCTCTTTGATCAGATGAGCGTCAAGACCCGCTGGTCTGTCTTCTTTTGACCGCGTGTTTCCCACTTCCTTCAGATGAGCATCTCCTTCATTTGAGTCCGCCGTGAACTCAAACTTTCGCCACTCACAATTCTTCCAACCAGTACCTATGATTTCAGTATTAGTAACTACTAGTTGACACATGAATAGAGTATAAAAGGGCAAACATACAGTGAACTCTATCATAGCCAGCCCAGTCCTCCATGAGATAGTGCAAGAATCCACCATGGGTTACAAGGGCAATATGTTCTTCAGGACGATTCCAAAGCCATCGCCGCAAGTCGGCAGCGCGTTTACAGATAGCAGAAAGCGTGTGGGCATATACCCCAGCCTATGAGAAGGATTCACATTAGTACAGTCTATGCAGCAGTCAGTGCCAGTAAATACCTTAGAATTCCATGATTCATCGACTAGAGTCGTACCCATTGGCAACTTTCAAAGTCAGGCGCCACTTCAGCGACCAGCTTTGGAGCCTGGGATTTGACACGATCCTCATCCCAGCCATGATTGCAGTTAAATCCACTGATCTCTTGGGCACCCGGGACTAGGATGAAAGGCAATTGGCGCTGTTCCAATTCTGGTGCAAATACCCAAGCTGCTGTTTGAATGGTTCGCCGAAGAGGAGATGCAAGGACAATAGAGATTTCCTTTGAGAAGGGAAATTCTTCTCGGAGCTGAAGGCATTCGTCTTTGCCCTTTGCGGTCAGCAATGGATCGCGTAGGTGGTTGGAATTCTGCGAGCTCAGTTAGAGGGGTCTCTTCACAACGGACGAGGGAATAAGGTGTACGTTGACGTTGTGCTCGCCTTGACCGTGGCGGATCAGGTACAGAGTTGGTGGCATTGGCGCTGATCGTATGTTTAATCAATAAAAAGATTGAGTGTTACTCTAAGTAAATAAAACACGGGTCCAAAGCTATATTATAAAGGCTATTTTGACTTACTTCGTCTATAGAACCCTCATTCGGCTCGATCTCCGAATCTCATAGTTCTTGTCCAGAGAGCGAAGCCGAGCCGAATAATTTCCCAAGAACTGAAAGGTTACGATGTTGAAAGGGCAATTAAAGCGATACATTTTCTCCAGCCATATCCACTGAGTATCAAATGTTCATTGATAACAGTCCGTAATCGGAAATATTGCCGAGCCGTCGCCACAAGTGGAACCCAACTTGGACGTTCGCCCAGTTCACGTTTGACGAGAACAGAACAAAATAGAACTTCATATCTGGGCCGATTATAGTATTTGTCCCGAGCATCTCCTAACACAGGCGAAATGCGCTCCTACACTGGCTGGTACGCGCACACAGTCTGAATAAAGGTGCAGTCAGCTAATTGCCCGCTATAGTCTCACATGCAGAGGGCGCAAACTGAAATGCGACGAGGCCAAGCCAATATGCGGTCCTTGCAATAAGGCAAGTCGGGAATGCAAGTTTGATCAGCGATGCATTTTCCGCAGTCAGAACTTTTCGACCACGAGACGTAGGCATAAACGCAGAGCTGGCTCGCGGGGGCATCAAGGTCCTTCAGATGCGCTTGATGAAAATCAAACATGGGTCCATGTACCACATGATCGTGAGTTTCCAGTTGAAGCTGACATGATTCAGGGCTAAGTGCAGAGCAGTCACTTTTATTCAAATCGATGATCCTTGGTCGCCCGATGGTGCACATGTACTACACGATCCCCACGGGGACCGAGTAGAAAGCAACCCATCTGCGCAGCAACAGACAGCGCCAGGGGCCAATTGTGACCTTAACAAGCAGATTCCTGAAACACCCGGTGATACTTCGTTTCAGTCAACTCCTGTATGGCACACGCCAATTCCAGAGGTAATTGCAGATACGCCGGATCCTGTCCACCTCTCGATTCCAAGATCCGAAAGATCGGGCAAAGATGTGGATCCCAACGTGGTTGTCTCTTATATGTTGCGACATTTCAAGGAAGGGCCGGGCCAGTGGTAAGCAACCATGAACAATGGATGAACATGGTCACTAAAGAAACCAGGATGGACCTTTTTGATACCACAGCATACTTTTCATCCAAAGTGCCCGTGATAGCAGCCGTGCGGCCGCTGCTTAAATCTGCAGTCTGCGCTCTCTCAGCGAAACACCTACAACATCTCTACCATATCTCGGACGGCATCGACCGCAACAGCTATATTCTTTCGCTGGCAGACGAAGAAACTTGGCATTATCAATCAGCAAAACACTATGACCAAGCACTGGGATATCTGAAAACAGCTATCGACCTGGAAACTTATAATGACAGTTCCTCTGACAAAGAAGAAATGCTCGCTGCTGTGGCGATCCTATGCCTCTACGAACTAATGGATGCACCTGGTACTGCCTGGAGGGCTCATCTCAGTGCCCTACCTCTTTTCAACGATACATCTGCCTCAATGCCCGCCCACTCCTCGGTTATCATTCCCAGAACGGCGATCAAGGGACCGATCTTCTGGAGTCTGGCAAGGCAAGACCTGTTGTGTGCTTGTATGCCTGAAAATCTGGCCGTTGTTCAGAAAAGAATGCTAACAGTCCTAGTTATAAGCGAAACATCGACCCGTCTCGATCTAAAAGACATTCGTCTCTGGCAAAATGCCGGCCTTGTCACAAACGAGCACGGAACCCTCTTACCTTCCACCGCAATAAGCCCATTGGATATCCAAAACTACTCAGGAATTGAAGAAGACATGAAAAGCAACGAGCTCACCTGGCTTCTGGGAAAGATTGCAAACCACCTAACTATGGGAGACACCGTTACTTTCGAAGACTTTGTTTTACCACGTGAACAACGAGCCTACCTGGGCTTAAATCAACAGCACCTCCTCGACCGCTGGAACGTTCTCATGTCCGAACTAGAACAGTGGTACGACTGCCTCCCGTCAACGTTCACAGAGGCAGCGCGAACAAAGGCACAGGGTAGCACCGATCCACGCCATAAGCTCTCCTTGGAAGCCTTCGAACAAATCTGGTTCAATCTACCGTTATGTGCAGCGACAATCCAAAGTTATCACCAGGCTCGGATTCTATTATTGGTCAATCAGCCGCAGCAGTCGACGGCAATTCAATCAACTGTGTCTTCGCGGCTGAGAGCATACCGAAATGCGTTAAAACAAGCACTATTCCATGCACGGGAGATTTGTGGGATTAATCTTGCAAATCCGACGGATCCTGTACGAATTAATTCGGTGCAGGCACTGTTTGTTGCCGGGCAGGTGTTTCAAGAGCGGCGTGAGCAGGATGCTGTTCTTGAGATTCTTGCTGGTATTGAGAGGGACTTAGGGTGGACTACTCAGTTTCATGCTGCTAAGTTGATTGATGAATGGGGGAGGGGTGAGGGTAATAGTATTGGTATTGGCCGGGGCGGGCGTGGATATAGGGATGATTGGATGACTCCATAGATGAATTTACGATGAACGATATACACCTACATCATCCTTGAGAGAAATTGGGGCTAATCTTTCGATTAAAGTAGTGGATATACAGATGCAAAAACCAAATTGGAAGGGGTTCGGCGATTTCAAGGTGTGCACCCGGCCATGCATGGATGAGGTCTGATGGCGTTGGCGTGCATATACTCAATACATGCTGAACCTAAAATCCTGAACAACAGAGTCAAACTAATTATTTATGGCACAGCCATAGCGCTAAGAAAAGAATACTTGCATTCTCTTGAATGATAATATAATATTGACGACTACAAGTATATCCGGCGAACCCGAAACCCCACATCGATCATCCGACATCTCGATTCTTCGCCTCTGCGACTCAATGCGATATTTCCAAGACAAAGCAAGGGGTCAAATCCTCCCAAGATAATACTTTACCAGCCCCAAATGCCCCGAGAAACATATCCTCTCACACCACCCACAACCCCAATAGCACTATGCCCAAACAACCTCCTCTCCCCACCCCCAGACCGCCTAACCAACACCCCAACAACCCTCTCCATAGCTCGCGACACCCCAGGCCACATTTTCACCGTCCACCTCATCCGCGCGCACGAACCTCTTGATAGTCCAGACCGGTATACGTTGCTCTTCACCGTATCTGGGAAGCCATGGCCGCATACGCAAGACCGTCAGATATGTGATGCGGGCGGGTTGCCGGTCCTTGAGCTTAGACGTGTTTGGATTGGATCTAGGAGGTGGGCTGTTCGGTGTCCTGGGGGTAGAGTGGATTTGCTTGAGGCTTCCATGCCTTGGTCTAGGGGTTGGAGTGGAAGTGTTGGGTTTAGGTTTGATGTGAGGGTTTGGAATGTGCTTGGGGCTGGGGATTCTGATACAGGGTCACGAGTACATGTATCTGATCCTGTGTCTAATTTGGATTCTGGGTCTCTGAGCTTGGGTGATGAGCCGCCGCCTTATGCTTCTGTTGCTGGCGATATAGAAGACGAAGATGACGATGAGAATGCAGAAGAGAATACCGTTTGGGCAAACGAGAAGCAAGACCCATTTCCCAACTCGGAATATGATCTAGGTGCAGAACAAGCACCGGGAATTCGAAGGGACCACGACTCGCACTCTATCCTCCCATCTTACGCCTCCGTCCGCAGGAACTCGTCAAATTCTATACGAGATCTCCTTGATGCTATAGAACCACCCAATGAGCCAGCCCCAGCCCCCTCGTCTTCATCTTCATTACAGATTCCAAGTTCACTGTCTGCTGGCACTCCAACCGGCTCAAAAGTCGATCTAAAGGTGATACAGCTCACTGCATCCGGGATAGGCGTGATGATGGGGGATCAAAAGATCATCCATATAGCGAGACATAATGTTATGGACTACTGCACGTCTAGACTAAAGCCGAAGTGGGATGTTGAGGTTGCGAAGGGAGTGGATTTACTGCTGGTGAGTTCATATTTTCGATTGACTTTTTCTTCTGTTTCCTTTAGGCACTAACTTTGTATAGGCAGTGAATATCGTACTGATCATGGCCACATCGGTATAGCTTCGGATTAATGAAGCTTGTAGTGTATATCACAAATATAAGTCCATCATATAAGTTAAGTTACTGGAGTGCATACATGTCTCGGGTATACGTAACTTCCGAACTGCCGAGGTAATGGGATACAACTGAACTATAGATTCATAGCTAAATCTACAGATATAGTTATCCGGCACTACGCAGAGTGCTAGATCCCTATCGCCTCGTTTACTCTCTGTTCTAGACGCTGTGGGAACCATAACGGTCCTAAATCAAGACTTTTCCGCTACTTACCCTTCTTGTCCAATAAGTGGAACTATGGCCCACTTCGCGCCGAGGTAATAATAGTCGGAGGCGCAGTCCAGACTTAAGGAAAATTTCTGCAGGTCAAGTGAGCGGGGAAATTCTTATTATTCTTATTATTCTTATTTTATAGAGATTTGGGAATCAAGTATGAGATTAAGTGCTGATATACATGTATGGCATGGAAAGGAGAGATCAAGGAGGAACTGCTTAGCGCGAATTAGTGGCTGGAGGAGAAGCTTGTTTTTTTATGAGCACAAAAGTCACACAATGATATAATCAATAATGCATTCGTGTCCTCTTCTGATCTCCTGAACCCCGTTCCTTTGTTCCTGATTCCTAGTACAGTTCCATGGACCGGCGTAAAATCCTGTTTCAGGACCAACAACTCGCCCAATTTTCAATGATGGCCACGTTTCGGATACGCCAATTGACGCGTTCCCCTGGCCATGACCTCAGTCCTCATTAGCGAGTGGGTCCGGTAAAATTGGAGACAGCGCGGGTGAAGGACCGGGTTCTCCTCATTTTAGAAGAACGTCCCTCCCTCTTGCTCTTCCCCCAGGAATATGAAGTGTCAGTGTCTGTGGGGTATTCTGGACCGTTGCCTGCGCTTTCTGTCATGCGAGGCCGGGCTTTGCTAGCAGATATCTTCCCTTGAGCTCTTTGAGACCATCATCTGTCTGAAAAGATAGATACATTTCCGGCTACTGCCGGTAGTGTCCAATCTTGACATTTCAATTGTGCGAAATGTCGGATTCGCAGGATAATTCCCCGTCGATGCATCCCCATTCCTCCGAGGATGGGGAGAAGGACCATGAGGGCCACGACCACAATGGTGACCACGATGGCGACAATACGACCAACTCAGAGACTCTCTGCCAAGATGAGGTCACTGAAAAGCCTAGCATCTCATCTTCCCAACGATGGCGGACAGCAAGCAAACGTGTTCGGAACCGCGCAGCCACTATAGCAGAACGACTTGGACGACCCCATGAAAGGGAAGCGGATGGATTGGATGCACCAATGTCTCCGGAATGGTATGGAGCAACAGACGATATACGAGCATTCGACGCCCGTCAAGCCCACGACGAAGAAGAGAAGCTTCCTGGAACGGACGCGGATTCTCAAGCCCGTCTCTTGGTGGAACGATTGGGCTTAGAGCACCCTCCACCGCGTCCACACATCGAAGAACCTCGCTCCGGCGCAACAACTCCAGGAACTCCCGATGAACACGGAATGGGTCCATCAGGGGGTCCCCCCGGAGGAATGCTCTCCCATCTGCTCCGTGTGTATGCCAATAACCTTCAAACGGCTAGCCGCATGAGTCTCGTCTCCACAGCATCGACAGATCCTGAGACAGAGACACTCGCGCCGTCTGTCGCCCCATCAGGCAATGTAACGCCAGGCGGGAAAAGAGACAAATTGAAATGGTATGCGCAGGGCACCAAGCCCGCTAAGCCAACCCACAGCTATACTTCCTCCCTCATCCACGCATCGATGGATATGGGCCGCGTTGGGGTTCCTGCTGCCACAGGTCCAGCTCCCGCAAACCCCAAGGAGCTAAAGAAGCACAAACGCCAGAGCAAGAAGAATGTTGCCCTCACAGTGCATATCGCTGCTCTATTGTCACGCCAGCAGTATATTATGCAGCTGTGTCGGGCTCTGATGAAGTACGGTGCCCCGACCCATCGACTTGAGGAGTATATGACGATGACCTCCAATGTGCTGGAGGTCAAGGCGCAATTCCTGTACATCCCAGGCTGCATGTTCATGTCATTCGACGATCCTCTAACTCGCACGGCCGAAGTGAAGATTATCCGAGTGGTTCAAGGACTGGATTTGTCCCGTTTGGCTGAGACGCACAACGTCTACAAGAACGTGGTGCACGACGTGATCGGCGTCGAGCAGGCTACGCAGGATTTGGATCAGATCATGCAGCGCAAACCACGCTATAACAAGTGGATGCTTGTCTGTCTGACTGGACTAGCCAGCGTTGCAGTAGGCCCATACTCCTTTAGCGCTCGCCCAGTCGACCTGCCTATTATCTTCATACTCGGATGTCTCGTGGGCTTCATGCAGCATGTCATCGCACCAAACTCAGCCACATACTCCAACGTCCTCGAAGTATCCGCCGCAATTCTCACCTCCTTCCTTGCGCGTGCCTTCGGAAGTATCCACCACAACGGCGAACGAGTCTTCTGCTTCGCCGCCATGGCCCAATCCTCCATTGCCATGATCCTCCCCGGATTCGCCGTTCTCAGCAGTAGTCTGGAACTTCAGTCCCATCAAATGAACGCAGGCTCTATCCGGATGGTCTTCACAATCATCTACTCCCTCTTCCTCGGCTACGGCGTGACAGTCGGAACAACCATCTACGGCTTAATGGACTCCAACGCGTCAAAACAATCCACATGCACAGGTTTACCAGAGGTCTGGGGCAACGAGTATATCCAGCACTTCCCCTTCGTCGCGCTATTCTGTCTCTTCGCCGCTCTCATCAACCAAGCCAAGCCCAAACAGCTCCCTGTCACTATTTTCATGGGTGTTTGCGGCTATGTCACAAATTATTTCAGCACCAAGAAACTCGGCGCAAACCAGGTCGCCAATACCGTTGGCGCTTTCACCATCGGCCTTTTGGCTAATTTGTACAGTCGCGTGTGGCATGGCCATGCCGCCGCCGCTATTATCCCGGGAATCTTCACCCTGGTTCCATCCGGTCTTGCATCCAGTGGATCCATCATCTCCGGTCTGGAGTATGCCGAGGCTGTGGCATCTGGTAATGTCACCAGCGCGACTACCAGTGCCACATCTAGTAGCTCGCTCACGTCACTGGGCTACGGAATGATCCAAACAGCCATCGGTATCTCCGTCGGACTATTCGTCTCAGCTCTCATTGTGTATCCGCATGGAAAGAAGCGCAGTGGAATTTTCAGTCTTTAAAATATGAAGCACATATGTTGATATCTAGCGATTTGATTGACTACATTGTACCATTTGCATCGGCGTTTTGGAATTAGAGATTACATACACCCCCTGTCTATCTATGCATGTTATATCACCTCAACATAAAATACACAACATCACAGCGTCAAAATAGCACCCACAAACGCAATGCAAGCAGGCAAATCCGCCACGACCATCCTAACCCGATGAACACTCAACCACATCTCCATATCCGCCGTAGCACCAACCCCACTCTCCCCCTGATCCTCTTGCACCCTCGAGTCCTCAAAAATCCTCCGCGCTGGCCCAGCCACAAAGGGCACAAAGGCCAAATGCCCAATAGCACCCACAAGACCAACCCAGTAGAAGAAGGTAGTTTGCAGCGGGCGACTCTGAGAGGGGTGATATTTATTAAAGAATAGCGTTGCAGTAGCCGAAGAGATCGTGCTCATGTTTAGTGCGACGACCGTCCATATTGCTCGTTTGAAGACTTGGTTATACCAGGTTGGGAGGACTTTGTCTGAGGTTTGTCGGATTGATGGTGTTAGGAAGGCATTGTTGGTGATGAGTTCTAGTAGGGCGTGTGCGAGGGTAGCGGTGCTTGTTGCTAGTGGGATTGTTTGGAGGAGGGTTTGGGGGTTGAAGATGAGTCCTGAGGCCATTTTTGCTCTGGTGGAATGTGTTAGAAGGAAGTGTTTAGACTATGGATTGGGGGTTCATGCTATGATGGGGTGATGTCGGGGTTTAGTTGGACTTTGCGGCCAAGTTCGGCCCCTTTCTCCGATGATCTTGGTCAATTGCATCTATGAGAAATTTAGGGAATAAAAGATCTGTATTGCGGTTCTGGATGTGTCGGGATCGCACTAGTAGCTTCAGAGGAGGTCAAGTAAACTGCTTTTATTTACACTTTATGCTAAACTGGATGCCGGAGGACACAAACGACGTAGCAGGAACAGTTGCATGATCCAAAATAATATACATTGGGTTACGTGGTCTCGAGATATATGCATTAAACCACCACCTCATTGACGATGCCATCGAACTTGAGCCCCTCTTCGTGCTCAGTGCGATTTGTCTTAACCAGGTGTTCCCATTGCTCGGGATACTTCTGGATTGCCCATTTCTCAACCTCGTCCTTCCAGTACTGATACGGGATAGCATTGTAGAAGAGTCCAATACTGAGGATGCATTAGCGGTGTTCACAAACCGGAAATTCATAAATAAACACTCACGTATTGCTGGTTGGAAGGACTCCAACCTCAGCCTCCATGTTGTTGATGGCCTCGGTTGCCAGATCGAATTCGCACTGCGCTGCCACGGCTTCCATGTATGCTGAGTATAGCGGGCGATCCAGAGTGATTTCCAGCTTTTTGACCTTGGCAATCATTTTCAAAGCTTCTTGGGCACCATTGTGATGCTTCTCGCAGACCTTGAAGAAGATCCTGATGGTATGGCGAGTAGGGCCTTGCTCAGACTGAAGAATTTGTCTGAAGATATCCATGCTCTTCTCCGGCATTTCGCATGCAGCATAGGCCATCATCAAGCCATTCAGAATTCTGGTAGTTAGGTCAACTTCCACGTCCAGCTTCAGCATATTGTGCACAAGTTCCAGATTGGTGGCATCAGCCGTGCGAGACAGTCCCTGAAAGCAGCGGGCGTAGGTGTCTGGCTTGGGGCGACGGGAGAATTCCTCCGCCTGGCGCATGTGTCCGAATACCTGGACGGCAAGATCACTGCGCTGGCGTTCGAAGAAAGAAGACATAATCTTAGTACGCATTGGGACACCTGTCTCTGGGAATGCAATTTTCAGAAGCTCATAGACGTTCCATGCCTCTGTATCGGTCTGGGTCATGTCCAGAATGAAGTCGGTAAGCGCGGTCCGAACCCACATCCTCATTTCGTCGTCGTAGTCTCCCAGCCTTGGACGCAAGAGATCTGAGACAGCCTCCAAGTCGTGGCGGTAGAGAAGCAGATGTGTCAATGCTGCAACAGTCTTGGGGTCCAGGCGGACGTTGTCCTGGAAAAGAGGGTCGAGGAGGGAGGAAATTTGTTGGAACAAAGCGTCCTTTTCTTCGGACCGGCAAAGCATCGTGATGAGCTTGTTGGCAAGTGGCAGATTTTCAGTTGTGAGGGAATTTGGGTCGACCTTGTCTTCCAAAAGCTTCAGGGTCTCCTTGACATCGCCAGCCTGGATGCGGGATTCCAATTGCAAAGTGTAAGTTTGCTCATCCGGCGTGAGGCCCCATTGTTCTGCCAACTTCATGAAATCAGCAGCCAACTGGGGTCTCTCGAGAACATTGGCTAATTGAAGCAAATCATTCACAACGTCAATTGTGACGAATGACTTGAGTCGCGGGTTCTTCGCAAGCCATGCGTCAACCTTTTGTGCAATAGCAGAAGCGTTACTTCCCTGTGCTGCTTCCCAAAGCAGCATAATCCTGGCAGTATCTGGGCTGGGATCATGGGGAAGAGTCTCATAAATGGCTGAAGCCCACTCGGTTTGAGACTTGAAGATGCAATATTTGATGACAGCTTCTTTTGCGGCCAGGGAAGGTTCGGGTTGGTCGGAGATCGGGAAATTGTAGACAGTCTGGACTGCATGAAGCTGGTCCTGGTCAATGAGGAATTTGAGCAGCTCAACATGTGAATTGCTATCAAACTTGTTGCCATGGTTTTCGAATTCCTCGACGATTCTCCGCACCTGTCGTAGATCGTCTTTCAGGGCGAACCCTTTGAGCACGGTGAGCCAAGGCGATGGTTTAGCCTTGCGCAATTGGCTCATATACTTCAAAACAGTATGTCTGGCCTCATCGGGATTTCCATTCATAGCCGTGAGATTAACATAGAGGATGATAGCTTCTCTGCTAACCTTATTCGCGCCAAATCCATGATCCACGCACAATTCATTATATGCGAATCGTCCAATGCGCAGGACGGTCTCGCGAGCCTCCTGAGGAATTTCACATTCATTAAGCACATACAGCACTTTCTCAAGGTTCTCGATCGAGAAGACATTCTGGAACTCTTCTTCCTCCAGCTCGCTTTGTTGCCTCTTCAAATGCTTCCATGTGACATTCAAATGGCGAGCTTGGAAAAGGTTTATAGTCCCTGGTGTTTCGAGCCGCGTAGCGAAAAACACTTGGAAAGCCTTTGCGAGGACATCATTGGGGGGAGGTCTGCTTCTATCGACAAGTGATCTCATCAAATCTGCCATCGGCTTCAGACCTTTCTCGGAGGGTAGAGTAGTCGATTGTCCCTCGGAAGTTTGGGACATGTTGAAGGCGAATAGTGTACGTCGTGACATATGTGGGAGGCCGGGAAGAGGAGCTCGTACACGGAGAGGAGTTATTGTATGCAGCAGCCGGTTTCGATGGCATTGTGAGAAACGAAGCGGCTCATTGTTGATGATTGCCCGGAAGACCCTTCTGGTGAGATGGGACTGCATGGTGGATTGAGAGCTGAGCTCAACGCTCAAATCGAGTCGAACAGAAGTATTGGAGTCTCGGGTGGGAATGTATGGGAGAGGTCGCGACGTGGAGAGATCTGGAGTTTGCTAGGCGGAAGAAGTCTTGGCGAAAAAAGATCTCAACTCCGCGTCGGTCCCGGACTCCCTGCCAAAGCCATCAACGTCTACTAATCTAAGAGGCTCAGACAATATGTCGTTGAATCTCTTCTCCTCGTCCTTACTGCGCAACGTCGCGACCACCGCTAATGTCGGCTTGTCGACGAGTCGCTCGAGCTCAACCGCAGCCATGAGCGCCTTCACTTCGCAGCGCAACACAGGCTCACAACGTAAGTGCTACCCCTACTGAATCAAATTGTGGCTTTTCTCTCCGAAAATTGGATGTTGGGAGAATGGCTCGAATGTGACAACAACCACTGACGTTTTGCGATAGACTCCAATGTGCTCCAGCGACGCCGGCTACCAAGCCGCCTGAAGTACCTTGAGGACCAGAAGGTGCAGGGTGAGAGCCGGGCCCTTGAACGATACCAGACTCGCGAGTTCAAGGCTGGAGACGTCTACGCCCCTCACGATCTGAGCCCAGCGGAGATGAAGAAATGGGGAAAGCGCCAGAGCCCTCACTCGGACGCTTTTGACGCGTTGAACTTGAGCCCATTGGACATGTACAAGGTATGGTTGTCAGCGTCCCCTGTCATCTGTGCAGATGCAACATATTCATATGACGAACATCCGCTGACACGGCCCTTCTCAATAGAACTTCGCCGTTATGTCCGAATATATGACCTCCATGGGCCGTATCAAGCACCGATCGGAAACTGGCCTGCGACCTGTCAACCAACGGAAGATGGCCAAGGCACTGCGACGAGCTATCGGTATGGGTCTCATGCCCAGTGTTCACCGACACCCTGAGATCATTGCATCTGAGATGCGGGCACGTATGGAGGGCCCTGGTGGCTTCTTCTGATTTGGTGATTTGGATATACCATTTTCGGGGCCTGGGAGAGATTTTGATAGAAGATGTTCTTGTATAAGTATAGGCCGGTGCCTGGTTGAATGGGCACTTTCGTGTATTATTACTTAGCGCTATGCATTTATTTTCTGAGCTACCTCAGTTATGTAGTGATATACTCCGTAGATCCGTAGACTACATATATGATAGATGCTCTACTCTGTAGTTAACGAAGTAGACAAAATTGCTTAGCTGCAGCTCAGACGTGGCTGGTGTTCCCCGCCATTGTGGCCGGGTACGTCAGTCGATAAACATCCTCCCCTCCTCCAAACACTTCCAAGTGCACCCCAGCAATGTCACTTACAAACGGTAAGATCCTGCAACCCCATATAGTTATATATAGTTCCGTGCCGTCCTGACAATCTCCAAGAGTCCATTTGGGCTGCGAGCCCCTCGACCACCCGCGGCCAGCCCACCCAGCTTTCCTCCGATGCCAAAGGCGAGCGATTGGCCTATGCTGTACGTCTTCCTGATAGCCCCCTCCAATGGAACCGTATAGATCTGACACTATCCACTATAGTCCAACAAATCTATCTTCCTGCGTTCAATTGATGACCCTGCGGTCGCTAGACAGTACACCGAGCACAAGGCCCAGACAACAGTTGCGCGTTTTGCCCCATCTGGCTTCTACGTTGCCAGTGGTGATGCTGCTGGAATTGTGAGAGTCTGGGACTGTGTCGGCGAAGGAATCACCAAGGGTGAATACAGCATTGTCAATGGACGGATCAACGATCTAGCCTGGGACGGTGACTCTCAGCGCATTATTGCTGTCGGTGACGGCAAGCAGCGATATGGACACTGTATTACCTGGGACAGTGGAAACACTGTTGGCGAGATCCACGGCCACACGCAACAACTCAACACGGTGTCAATTAGGCAACAGAGGCCTCTGCGTGCTGCCACTGCTGGTGATGACCGAAAGACGGTCTTCTACCATGGAGCGCCTTTCAAGTTCAACATGGGAATTGCAGACAAGCACACCAACTACATTTACGGGGTTCAGTTTAGTCCGGATGGCTCGCACTTGGTCAGTGTTGGCGCTGACCGAAAGATCTGGCTCTACGACGGCAAGACCGGTGAGACCAAGGGTCAGATTGGCGAAGGCGAACACAATGGTAGTATCTTTGGTGTTTCCTGGGCCAAGGATTCCCGGAGGTTCGTGACCGCAAGTGCCGATCGAACTGTTAAGATCTGGGATGTGGAAGCTGGCAAGGCAACACAGACCTGGACCTTGGGAGAAGAAGGTGCTATGGCTGTTCGCGACCACCAAGTTGGCGTTGTTTGGCCCCCTGGAAGAAGCGATGACTTGCTCATCAGTTTGTCGCTCAGCGGTGACCTGAACTATCTGGTCGAAGGCACCCCCAAGCCCCGTCAGGTTGTCTCTGGGCACCAGAAGAGCATCACCTCTCTGAACCAGACCACCGTAGACAACAAGGAAACCCTGTGGACAGGCAGCTTTGACGGAAGAGTCTGTAATTGGGACGTTGCCACTGGCACTGCTGAGGAGATTGAGGGAGAGAGCCACCCCGGTTACGTTGCTGGGCTTGCGACGACATCAGAGGGATCCGGTAGAATTTATAGTGTCGGCTGGGACGACACCATCCGGTCCGTTGATGCTGCTGCCAAGACCTACACCGGTAGCGCTTCGAAGCTTAACGGACAGCCAAAGGGCGTTGCGGCTGGTGACGTGACCGTCCTGGTCGGTGAGAGTGAAGCTGTCGAGATCTTCCAGGATGGCAAGAAGACTGGAGAATACAAGACGGACTTCGCAGCTACAACTGTCGCCGCACATGGCTCCATGGCAGCAGTTGGAGGCGAGAATGGCTCAGTCCAGATCTGCGCCATTTCCAGCTCTCGGCTTTCTCCCCGAGCGGACATCAATGCCTCTCGCAACCCGATTTCTTCCCTTGCCTTCTCCCCAGATGCCTCCCACCTGGCAGTCGGTGACTTGCGAGGACGTGTCCTGGTTTTCAAGGTTTCAGATGGCAGTCTGGTTACTGACCGCTGGACAGCACACACCGCACGAATCACATCCCTTGCCTGGAACCCAGCGGGATCACACGTTGTGAGTGGATCACTGGACACAAACATCTTCATTTGGAGCTTGACCAAGCCAGGAGACTGGATCGAGCTGCAGAATGCTCACAAGGAGGGCGTCCATGGAGTCGCTTGGGTCGACGGAGGCGTGAAGATCGTCTCCGTCGGTGCTGACGCTGCGGTGAAGAAGTGGAAAGTGGAAGGTCTACAATAGAGAGTGTATTTGCTATCAATAAATTATCAAGGCCGAGTTCAACTCCAGGCCAGTTTGAAATAAAACGTTAGATGTCAGGCATTGGAGAGTTGGGCAGAGTAAACAAGAGTGCGTGGCGGTGACAGGCGGGAGGTGGCCGTAAATGTTGTTCCAATCGTAGCCGGCCAACAAATTGACCTGCATAGCTCTCTGCGCCTCCGCTCGTTGTCTCTCTGACGTCTCGAGTCTCCAGAGAATTACTTCTCCACAATGAGGCTCGTACAATGAGTTTGCGCCAAGTCCGTGACGTGAGACAAACCTGAAGATGCCGTCTGGAAGCTCAAGCTCGCGCCGCTTGCGCCCTACAGTATGCCCTCATATTCTGTCCCATGTTGGAGTTTCAAGACCCGCTAACATCCGCCGAAGCTGCGCCAGGCTACCTTCGTCCTTCCAAAGACAGGCCAGCGCCTCAAAGGCCTCGTGAACCTCCGCAATTCTACGCCAACCGACGAACACGATGAACGGTGCGGACTCCTCACGAACGAGATCCAGACACATTATGATGGATATATCCCAAGGCTCTCTCGCTACATGCACAACGCATGGGAACAGACGAACCAGTTTGCGAGGTCTGAGCCGGGGATTGGAGTGTTGAAGTACAGTCTCGCGTATTTCATCGGATCTCTCGCAACGTTCATCCCCGCAGTCTCGGCGATGCTTGGACACCAGGATGGGAAACACATGGTGGCTACAGTCACCGTCTACTTTCACCCTGCCAGGTCCCAAGGTGGGATGTTCAAGGCCTTGATCTGCGCGTTCCTGGCGTTCTGCTATTCCTCTTTCTTGACCATCACGAGTATGTTTGTGGAGATGTTCTTCCAGGATACACTGAATCAGCCTGCTCTTGGCCACGCAGTGGTTCTGATTGTTTTCTGTGGCGGTGGACTTGGTTTTGTTGGTTGGACCAAGCAAAGGCTCGGAGATCCTTTGGTGAACGTTGCGTGTTCACTTACTGCGCTTTCGACGATTACTGTCCTGACCAAAGAGGGCGCCGTGCAGAGCGGCGATTTATCTCTGGCTAAGATTTTCCAGGTCTTGAAGATGGTTCTGATGGGTGTGGTAGCTGTCATGGCTGTGTCTTATTTCGTCTTTCCCATTTCGGCGCGAAGAAAGCTGCGCGCGAATCTTGTCACGGTCACTGATACATTGGCTATCATGCTGGCAATTATTACAGAAAGCTTCTTGAGCGGATCAGAGGAAGAGCTTGCATCGGCTGAATTTGTCGATGCAGAAGCCAGACACCGAAAGGCCTATGGACAGCTTGATAAGCTTGTTCGAGAAGCTAAACTTGAACATTATGTATTTGGAACCGAAAGGGAGTATAGGCTTGAGAAAAAGCTTGTCCGCTGGGTGCAAGATATCACACACAACATGGGAGGGTTGCGCAATGCAGCGTCCCTCCAGTTCAGTTTGATCCGCGAGACTATCGCCCGTGAGTCTAGCTCAGCGGGTGCTCACCAGGGTGCTTCAACTCATGCCGACTACTTTACACCCATTGAGCGATCGTGGTCATTCCCTGACGGGTCGTTTTTGGAGCCTATTGTCGAGCGACCAGAGGAGGAACTGTCGCCTAGTAGCTCCGTGCGTTCCCGTCAAAATGAAAGCGCCCAGTCGACACCCAGACCATCACTGCTTCCAGCAGATGTTTTTACTATTTTCATCTCGCACTTGGGGCCATCGATGGTAAGTTGGAAACAAAATGTTCTCTTTGTATAGAAGCTGACTGGATGAAGCGATCGTTGGCATTCACATTGAAAGAAATATTCAAGGAAATCCCATTTGGACCTGCTCCAAACTACAAGGTCTCAGTGAATGGTCGTCTGCGGATCAGTCTTGACCGGGCTTTAGAACTATATAAAGACTCGCGCCAAAGGACACTTGCATCTCTATACCAACAAAAGGAAACTATGAATATGAAGACCCACGAAGCCGAGGCTGACCTTGAGGAAGTGTCAGCAAGTTGTGGCCACTTCAGTTTTTCCCTTCTTGAATTCGGAGAACAGCTCCAAGAGATGCTGGCTATCTTGGATGAACTGCAGCTCGAAGTTGAGGAGCGGCCTCACGGACGATCCTGGTCCTGGCTTAAAATCTGGCAGTGGTCAAAAAGCACAAAGACCGCCAAAATAGGTGATTTTGATGCCGGTAAGTACACACAGTCGCCAAAAGGTCTCTCAACGTTGTATTGACCTTTGCAGAGCCAACTTCCAGTGCACATACCAATAATCAGATCAACCACCGTCGCCATGCATCGGACGGATTGATTGCACACGACAGAGTGCCTGTTAACATTCGTGCCCACAAAGCACCCTCATCAAGAGATACGACGAAACAAAGACTAGGGTACCGTATATGGAAATGCCTTGGCTTTTTACGAAGAGATGACACAAAATACGCCATCAAGGTCGGAGCAGGAGCTGCTCTTTACGCCCTGCCTGCATTTCTTCCTTCGACTCGCCCTTTCTATACACACTGGCGCGGGGAGTGGGGTCTGTTGTCGTACATGTTGGTGTGCTCGATGACAATCGGCGCTTCGAATACGACGGGATATGCCCGTTTCCTCGGTACTTGCCTGGGGGCAGTCTGTGCCATTGTAGCATGGGAGGTCACGTCAGGAAATGTATTTGGCCTTGCGTTCCTGGGATGGCTTATGGCTATCTGGACCGGG